TGGTTTTGCCAGCCCATTCTTTGCCAATTTGCTCATCGCTCCTCGCTCTCTGTCACTGGGTTCCTTGGGTTCAGTTCAGTGTTTAACTGTGGGTGTTTGCCTCTGCTTCCATCAGTCACTGGATGAAGGCTCCAGGATGGTTATAGAAATCAAGTTCATTATCAGGAATGGGCATTCGAGGTGGTCTCTCCACTATTGTTTAGCTTGCCAGTTGGTGTCATCCCTTTAGATCACTAGAGGTCTCACTGGTGTCAGATCTGTCTTCTAACCTATGATTCCCTCTTCCCCCTATTCTACCCCCCCCACTCAACCTTCCTGTTCCCCCATGACCTACTCTCTCTTCCTCTTCTCCCCCTCTCTTCTTCCCAGCTCCCACTCCCCCGCCCCACCCCTCTCCATGTTCTCTTTAGACTATATTTTAAGTTTACATTTTAGATTATAATTTCTTATGGTAAGCTTAAAGTTGAACTGAAATTCTTTGTTGGGTAACCGGCTATCACCAAGCTCGTTAGTCCTTTACCTCTACCTAGAAGTCTTCCCACTATTTTGCTACATGGACGGGTTCATTCATAAAATCGCTTTTAGTTAGCTTGTTTGGTTTGGGGGTTTCTAGCTAAAGTTCTCTTAGAGGTTTTCTACTTAGTTCATTATGCAAAAGACACAAGGTCTAATCTTTGCTTTTTTGTATTTTTAACGTGTCTCTCATCTTTTCCTTGCAGTACTGTCTCTACAGCTCCTTAGAAAAGTTTCTTTCACCAATGCTTCTTTTGGTTTAAATGTTTTAATTTATATATTTAAATAGTTTAACTTTTAGAGTGTCAGGGTAGAGTTAATTCACAGCGTCCATTGGTTGTAGAGTCTTCTGGGTGTAGACCAGATGTTTTGTATAGCCTAAGCTACGCTGTGATTAATCCAAGCACACTTTCCAGTATGCTTACCTTGTTATGACTTGTCTCCCCTCACAGATTTGTTGGTTGATATTATGTATAAAATAACCTTTGTCAAATTTAAGATTGATAATTTGTGTTGATAGTGATTCAATGTCAATTGGTAATTAGAAGTTCGGCATTAGAGTAAAAAAGTATGCATGGGGAATAAGGCTTAGGATAAATTAATACTTAATTGACAAGTAATATAGAGAGGGCAATTACTATGACTCAATATATTTGGGTAAATGGACAGAAGATTATTGCATAGTGTTTTGATGTGTGGAGGAGAGGTAGGATGGCTAGGATTAAACTAAAGAGGATTAGGGCTAGTACACCTCCTAATTTATTGGGAATAGATTGTGGGATAGCATAAGCAAATAGGAAATATCATTCCAGTTTAATGTGTGAAGGGGTATTACATGGATTTGCAGGAGTGTAATTATCTGGGTCTCCCAGAGTATCTAGGAAAAGCAATACTAAAATTATTAGAGCAATTAAGAGAAGAAAGACTCCAAGGAGATCTTTAATTGTATAGTATGGGTGAAAGGGGATTTTGTCTGCATTTGAATTTAGACCTGATGGGTTAGTAGATCCTATTGAGTGAAGAAATAAAAGGTGGACTACAACTAGAGTGATAATAAGAGGTAGAATAAAGTGAATTGCAAAGAAGTGAGTTAGGATGGCTTTATCTACTGAAAACCCTCCTCAGATTCATTGTACTAAGGTCGTACCAATGTCATAGTCATAGGTATAATCTATGTAGAAAGTATGACAGTATATATTTACATTTTAAGCTCATTAGTTTCAGTAGGTTGCTTGGGCACATCACTAAAGCCTTTGTTTTCTATGGTGGTGTGTGTAATCACTAGCAGGTGTGTGGATTGTTTAGCAGTGTTGAGATGTGGGGGGTCCTTTTTAGGGTTAACAGTATTTTTAATTTATTTGGGGGATGTTTGTTTTGGGTTATACAACTGCTATGTCATCAGAGGAATACCCTGAAACTTGAGTGTCAAGTTGATTGGTTTTTGGAAATTGGTAGTAGACTTGGGAATGGCGTTTGTAACTAAATATTATGAGGAGGTAGAAATGGTATTAGAATTTAATAATATAGGTGGTTCAGTTATTTATAATGGAGATGAATTAGGTTTAATAGGAGAAGGAGCTGGGGTAGCAGCACTGTATAGTTTTTCTGCATGATTAATGGTGGTCTCTGGTTGAACCCTGTTTATAGGAATTTTTATTATTATTGAGATTGCCCAGGAAATTAATTAGGAGAATTGGGATTGATATTAATGTAATTAAAAAGGATAAGAAGTAAAATTTAAGCCTTCTGGTTACTAAGGGCTTGGGAAGTTAAGAGTTTATGGTAGAGCCGGGCGTCAGCGGCACACGCCTTTAATCCCAGCACTCGGGAGGCAGAGGCAGGTGGATCTCTGTGAGTTTGAGGTCAGCCTGGTCTACCGAGCGAGTTCCAGGACAGCCTCCAAAACAATACAGAGAAACCCTGTCTCAAAAAAAAAAAAAAAAAAAAAAAGCTTATGGTAGAAATAATTTTTGAGATGACTCTTTCAAGTCATGTAATATCAAGGGTGTTTAGGGCTGTGTTAAAGAGTCTTGCTATTTTTTAGTAACTAGTCGACAGACGGTTAATGGAAAGTACCCTAATGATGTGGAGAATGAATTAGATGATGAGGGTTTGTTTAAGTCTAGATTATAAGTTAAATTATTTAATTCTAAAGCAATAGCAAAGCCTGTGAGAGCCACCAGGATTGCTGTGGTTTTCAGATACCATGGTATGGTTATTACTTGGGTGAATGTGATAGGGAAGGTATGAGAGATGATAAAGCCGGCAAAGACACTTCCTAGGGCTAGTCGTTTAATTGGCTTTGTAAGTTTTGGGTCATTTTCTTTTAAAAGTTAGTGGGGGTAAACGAGTTTCATTATTAAGGCGATGATGATAATCTGTAAACTGTAATCAGCTGTGAGCGGTTACTAATGTAATTAGAAGGGGGCTCAGGCGCTGGTATAACATGTATTTGCAGCAGGTGATTGGGTCTTTTGAGTCAAAGTCAGTCAGAAAGGTTATTCCGGTGAGGGCTAAGCTGCCAATAGTAAGGCATGATGATGTGAATGGTAGGAGTTTTGACAATCCCGCCTATCTTTCCAATATCTTGTTCATCATTTAGGCTGTGAATAATTGATTCAGAGCATTTGAGTCATACAGCCTGAATGCATGAGTACAGGTATGTCGGAAGGTTAGGTAGGGTTGGTTAATTCCTAGTGTGACTATCATTAGTCCTAGTTGACTGGATGTGGAGAAAGCTACAGGTTTTTTGATGTCATTTTGGGTCAGGGCAGAGATTGCTGTGAACAAAGTGGTAATTGGACATAGACATAGTACGATAGTTGGGGCTAGGCTGCTGTTGAAGATTAACGAGTGGAATCGAATTAGCAGGAAGATTCCTGCAACCACTATGGTACTCGAGTGAGGGAGGAATGAAACTGGGCTAGGGCCTTCTATGGCTGAGGGAAGTCATGGGTGGAGGCCACATAGTGCTGGTTTTCCTGTTGCTGCAATTAGAAGTCCTAGGAGAGGAACAATGTTTTGATTATTTGTTTTGAAAATTTGTTGAAATTCTCATGAATTAGTGCTGAGGCATAATCGGGCTATTCTAACGATAAATCCAATGTCACCGATGAGGTTATATAAAATTGCTTGTAAGGCTACTGTATTAGCATCTGACCATCTACCAGTTATAAGAAAGCATATAATTACTACCCCTGCCCAGCTGATAAACAATTGAAATATATTATTAGCTGAAGTAATAACTATAGTAATAGAAAATAAGTAGATATTTGATGAATCTATTTAGATTAGGGTCAGAGTGTGATATATATATATATATCATGAGAACTCTATAATAGACCAAGTAACAAAAAGGGCTTCCAGTAAGAATACAGAAAAAAAAAATCAAATTTAAGATTGATAATTTGTGAGGCAGAGGCAGGCAGATCTCTGTGAATTCGAGGCCAGGCTGGACTGACAGCCTCAAAAACAATGCAGAGAAACCCTGTCTCATAAAACCAAAAAAAAAAAAAAAGGATAATTTGTTGATCGTGATTCAATGTCAATTGGTAATTAGAAGTTCAGCATTACAGTAAAAAAGTATGGGGAGTAAGGCTTAGGATAAATTAATACTTAATTGATGAAGTAACGTAGAGAGGGAAATTAGGGATTTTGTAGGTGATGGTTAATGTAATTGGTAGAGTTAATAGAAAAAAGATGAGAACAGTTAAGGATGTTAATTGTTAATTACTTTTATTTGAAGTTGCACCAAGTTTTTGGTTCCTAAGACCAACGGATTACTACTATCCTATAAAAGTAAGAAAGCCACATTTTTACATATGGAAGCATGAGTTAGCAGTATTTGATCAGGAGAATAATGTAATTATAATTAGTAGTTCTCCGATCAGATTAACTGAGGGAGGGAGAGCTAGATTTATTAGACAGCCTAGAAATCAATACAGCTATTAGAGGAGGTACTATTTGAAGACCCCGAGCTATGATTATAGTTCAGCTGTGGATTTGTTCATAATTAGTATTGGCTAGGCAGAATAATAGTGATGATGTAAGACCATGTGCGATTGTTAGTGTTGATGCTTCTGTAAAGCCTCCTGGGGTTTAAATTATGATAGCTGCCATAACCAGTGCTATATGACTTACTGAGGAGTAAGCAATTAATGATGTTAGGTCTGTTTGTCGTAAGCAGATTGAACTAGTTATAATTATACCTCATAGTGTCAGCAGGATAAATGGATAGGCTGAAGTTTTTGTTATAGGGTCTAGGATAACAGATACTCCCATTATTCCCTAACTCCCTAATTTTAGTAAAATTGCTGCTAGTACCCTTGATCCTGCAATAGGAGCTTCTATATGGGCTTTTGGAAGTTGAAGATGGACAAGGCAGAGAGGTATTTTTAATCATAAATGCTATTATACTTGCTAGTCATAAAACGTGGTTAGATCACGTGGGATTTAATGATATGTTATTAAGAGAAAGAAGCATGATGTTTAACATGTTAAACAAGCAGACTACATTTATTCCCAGGACAGGAAAAGACGGAGACGCTCGGGTTATTAGGATAAGGTGGAGAGATCATCACCCACACCATTATATAATTTTAATTCCTGTTTCTAAGCAGTTTCACATTGTAGTCTAAGACAGATGACAAAGGCGGCCAAGCACGCTCTGTGGGACTTGACAAAAATAGCTGTGATCCCGAATTCACACCTCAACGGCGAGTCTGGCAAACCGGTACTGCAGAGAGGCGGGAGGCCGCAGCAGCACCAGGCCCCTTGTGGCTGCCGGCTGGCTCGACAGCATTTCCAGCAAGCCCGTCAGGCTAACAAACCCCAGGGCTTCCCCACCGCCGACGGCCAAGGAGAAGTCTCCCTGCGTGACGAAGCCCAGGAGCAGCCGGGAGCAGTGTGAAGTTAGTCCTGGGAGGGGCCCTGACCACAGCCCCTTGGTCGGAGCTTCCGGTCCGGTTGCAGGAGCCGCTCCGGCCGGGCTCCCGGGGGCGTCGCGTTCTCGGTTCCGCCGCTTCTTCTTTTCCTTCTGCTTCAGAATCAGGCTCTTAAATGGGTCGCTGTGTTTAGATTCCCGGGGTCCGCGGTAACACTGGTCCTGACTGAGCTGGAGCAGGTCCTCCTCGGATGGGACGCAGATCATGGTGCGAGGCTCGGGGCTGCCCTTCCTGAGCAGGGACAGGCTGACCCACACCAGGGCTCTGGGGAAACCGTCCAGAATGGACAAGCAGGCCTTTCTGGTTAATTCTTGCTGGCCTCCGCAGGGAGCCCGCCTGGCCTTAGAACCCGGCCCACACCAAGCAGAGAGCTGCCTCAGTAATTTCCTATTCCTACACGGCATAAGAGACATAAAAAATTATAATTAAAAACCGTTTAAAGCATACGATTATGTTTATAACTAACGTTCTCCTTTTCATGTACCCACCATTCTGAAAAAAAAAGGAAAAAAAGGAAAAACAAAAAAGGCACCAAACTGAAAAAAATAAAGATTTTAGAATCGGAACAGGAAAAAAAGTTTATAGAAAAATAGGAAAAACCTCAGGGTTATAATCAAAGCGAGAGGATGAGAGTTTGAAGAGAAGGAAGGGTGTAAAATTCTTAAAGATAAATGATGTGAATGGGAGTACATTATGGAATGGCAAAAAGCGGAAGGAACCAAGTCCCCAGGAGCGTCAAGCTCGCTGCACACGGGAGCTGCGGCATCGCCAGGACACAACGAATGGCTGACGGCCCACCCCAGGGCCACCCGATTCCCACCAACTGGAGCGGCTAACTCCGAACAGAGGCTTGTCGCCAATCAGGGTCCCTCGGTTTAAGGACAGTATCTCCAATCCTGTCTCATCCGTTAGTCCCACGTCTCAAATCAAATACTTAACTGTTTCCCATTTCAAAGAAGCCGCTCGCTTTTTAGAAAGTCGCCCATAGGCGAGCGTAACTTTCACACCCAGAGCTCGTTCAACACAGACAACGCGCATTTGCAGTGTGCCTACACTTACCGGAGAACACAGAGCTGGCTACCAGCGGCGGCGGCAACATGGCTCTCCCTGGCACCCTGGCCCAGGACTGTGTCAGTCCTGGCCTGTGCCTCACAGCCGGTGACTTCTGGCTTCATGGGTTGGTTTTCGGATGTACCTGCCTCGTTAGATGGCTGACAGATCTCTTCGGGGACACAAGGCACTCCTGGGAGTCGTCTTGGGTCGTCCTGGGCACCAGGCACTGCGGCCTGAACCCTGGACTCCCAGTCCTGAGTCAGCTGCTCCCAGGGACAGCAGAAAGGTGCTAGTGTGCCAAGCTTAACGTAGTTGGGCCTTTTGGCGGGAGGCCGTCTAATGAAAGACAGAAATCAATTTTAAACAGTTGTAGAGAATTAAAACAGCCATGACCATTAAAACACACCTCCAAACAGTAACCACACACACACAATCCTGCTTCTGAAGCTCCTCTTTTTCTTTGAGGGGGGGGTTTCTCTGGGTAGCCCTTTCTTTTTCTTTTTTTTGAGACAGGGGTTTCTCTGGGTAGCCCTGGCTGTCCTGGAACTCACAGAGATCCCCCTGCCTCCTAGCCACCACTGCCCAGGTCCTTTTGTTTTCTTTGGTCTTTTTTTGGTTTTGTTGTTGCTGTGTGTTTGTGTGCGCGTGAGAGCATACATGTATGTTTTAGAAACAAGGTCTCTCTATGTAGTCCTGACCTGCCTGGCTCCAAACTCTGAGATCCACCTGCCTCTGCCTCCCCTGTGCTGGGTTCAACGGTGTGCACCACCGTGCCCAGATCTTTGGGTTTTTTTAAATAGGTAACTCATCTACAAATGGGTGTGGCCTCTAAAAACCAAACGCAGTCCTGCAATGCCTGTCCTGAGTACTCCACATACATGGTGCCCCTGGGGCTGGGCGATGCTATCCCCGGAAATTTACAAGGCTTCTCCCTCACTGCTGACCTAACTACTAAGCTGAAAGTGAGTAAGAAGACAGACGATGTGTACAGACTGCATCCGGAAGGACGCACAGGAAAAGGACAGGATGCTGTGTTTCTAGAGGGCGGCAGGGACACGCCACTTCAGAAGTGGGGGAGGAGCTTCACGGTAAACCACAGGCCCTTGGGAAGACTCGAACTATTGATGCTCCGCCAAGTCAATGGTTCTCCACCTCCCTAAGGCTTCTCACCCCTTGAATCATGCTGTGGGGACACGAGCATCACAAAGTTATTCTCAAGACTACTTCACAACTGTCATGAGCTGTAACGTAAATAACTGACACTTGACCGCTGTGCTCAAACCGCCTCCTTGATATTTAGTTTATTCTTACAGACTAGCGCTACTCTTAGCCACCATCAGAGGAGCCGCTTTCTGCAGGGGGGGGGGGGCAATTAACGCAGTGGAACTTGACAAAGTACAGAGAGCAAGTACCACTGGCCATAAACAGGACGTCTACATCATCCCCTCCGAGGACCAGGGAACAGTGGTGCAGAAAGACACGGAACCGAAGGAAGGGGTGAGTACCACGCAGTACTGTCTTCTGGACACGGCCTAGCCACGCCAGTCATAGGACACAGAGGCTACCTACACAAGACCTGCAAACCCTAGCTTGTCAGAACTCCAGCAGCGATATGGGAGGGGCTCACCAGGCTCTCTGGAGGAGCTACTGTCAGTTAACAGCCCATGCTCACACAGATGACCCTGCTTAAATTCAGTGAGTCAAAAACAAACAAAGGAGAAAGGGCAGTAAAACAGGAGGAGGATCTGGGAAGGAGGCGGCAGCGAATACAATGTATGAAATTATCAAACAGATAACACTGGTTATTCATAAAGAGAATAAAGTGAGTGACAGACTCAAGTCTACTCTGTCTGTGCCCGCGAGAGCCATGGTGTCTATAGTGGTGCTGGGTCCAATAGCAGGCTTGAAGTAAATGTGTTGGATGAATGAGTGATTCACACAAATACACAGCAAAAGATGTATACAGGGATTCTGAGGTTTCCCAAGCGACAGGACAGGAAAAGAGCAATCAGTACTATTCTGAAATCAGTTTTTTAAAGCACAATTTCCACAAGTGGAGGTGAGATCTATTAGCAAGGTGTCTGCCATGCTGATGTCCGTCCATCATTCAGATCAGAAAGCAACCAGGAGAAGGGCTGTACCCGATGGGACTCAAAGGGCCACAAGAGGAGCTCCTGGCATTATCCTCTTAGCCATCTCTTAGTGACTGCAGTGATCCCCAAGCCACTAGGCGACTCGAGCAGTCGCTTCCTGTCCCTGGAGGGGGATGTTCCTTACCTTTTGTACTTTTCCAGAAGATCTTTAGCTTGATCTTCAGCAAACCGAACCCCAGCAAGGCAGTCTGGGAAATCGCCGGGGATGTTAGGTGACCTTCTGTACTGAGAATGCACCGTAGCCTCTTTTAAACCCCCGACTCGTGCACCCCGGTAGATCTAAGAGAAATGTCAAGAGGCCCCGTCAGTTTATTTACTAACTTGAAGCAAGAAATTGTTTCACTGTCTGCATAGGAGAAATGAGAAACAGTCTAAGAACCCATCAGGAGGATAACTGGTAAACGCACGTTAGGATAGCCCTGCAACCAAACACCACACAGCAGTTTACATGAGTGAACGGACTGCCAATCAACACGGGAAAACAACCGCAATACCCAGTGGATACAACAAGCTGCAGAAGCGTATATACAGTAAGGCAGACAGAGTAAAAACATGTACCTTGTAGAGAAACAAGCATTTGGTAAAGGCGTGACAATAGCATGGAGGTGACAAACACTGACATCATTAACAGTGTTACTTTAGGAGAGGCGGTACTGGTGACTTCCTAAGGGGGACGGCAGGCAAAGGGTACACAGCCCCTCGGTATGTGAGGACCTTATCTTTTCTAAGTGTCTGAGAATGAACCTAACTGACAGAGTGCTTCCTAGCCTGCCTGAGACCTTCAGGTCAAGTCTCAGGACTGAAGAAAATGACAAACAGGTTAAAAAAAATCCCTATTAAAAAAAAAGAACCACTTCCTAAATGATTAACAGACCGCTCCTTGCACTAGGCGTAACTATCAAAAATTAGCTACCTGTGTGAACCCAGCAGCCTGACACTGGCATGTCTCTTACCATCTCTAGCAAAATAATGCTTAAACCAGAAAATACAACACGGAGTTTAATAAAAATGTTGGCTACAGTTAAATATTAACAGTATATGCTCATAGTTGGCATTTAAAAACCAAAACAGTGTGCTCTATACTTCTGTAAAAGCCGAGCTCACAAATTTATCCAAGTTGTTTTTGGGGAAGAGGTTGCCCTGACTGTCCTGGAACTCACTCTGAAGACCAGGCTGGCCTTGAACTCAGGTGGGCATAGGTAGACAGGAGAATAAGCAACACATAAAGCAAGCGTATAAATATCTCAGAGTAGCTATACAGTTAAAATGCAAGCGTGTAAATATCTCAGAGTAGCTATACAGTTAAGATGCTGACCACTGTGTTTTAAATATCACAAGCAGTGACTGAAATCGAAAGGTAACTTACAAAAGGGATCCAAAAAGCCATGCCCCAACCCTTGGGAAGGAGGACGTCCCAGCCACTTCCCCAGCCCAGGCGATCTTCTCCGGTCACTTTTCCTGGCTGCTGGATCAAAAGGATAGGGATCTTGGATTCACGAGGCCCTAAAACAAGCTGTGACCCTGGTACCAGCAATTCACTTCTCATCCGGTTTAAAGCCTAAAGGGGAGAAAACAAGTCGATACAAACAGCCATTGTCTTGTGCATCTTAGAAGAAGATTTAAAAGTTGAATGTTGGGGGCTGGAGAGATGGCTTAGAGGTTAAGAGCACTGCCTGCTCTTCCAGGGGTCCCAAGTTCAACTCCCAGCAACCACACATGGTGGCTCACAACTATCTACAATTCAATCTGGTGCCCTCTTCTGGCATGTAGGCAGAACACTGTATATGTGATAAATAAATATGTTCTTTTAAAAGGGAAAGTAAGTCAGGCAGTGGTGGTGCATGACTTTAATTAAACCTAGCACCTGGGAGTCAAGGGGCAGGCGGATCTCTGGGAGTTCAAGACCAGCCTGGTCTACAGAGTGAGTTCTAGGTCAGCTAGGACTGTTACCCAGAGAAACCCTGTCTGAGGGAGGGACGGGGGCATGGGACTCTGTGAAACATAAAATGGTTTTGTAGGGTCTCTAGAGCGGTGACTGTCCCCTGTCATTCACGAGCTTACCGGCAGTCCTGGTACATTAGTTACCTGATCAGAGATTTTATTCTCTGTGACACTCCTACAGATATCGCCGTTCCAGATAAAGCTATGCGCACACTCCAAGGGCACACCCTCCTGAAGCAGCTGTCTAACTTGCTCATTATCTAAGAGGGAAAAGAAACAGCCTTCAAACCACACTTTCATCCCATCAATCTCCAATGCTGGAAGACTGTGCTTACGGGGAAGTATTTCACAGGCATTTGCTGAACTAGAAGACAAAAAACTAAGTTATTCTTACATTTGGTTTCCTAGTCCATGAAACAACAACACTTTTCTTTGATTACTTTTGTGCACAGTAATTATAATGCTAGTAATTGTAAGTTGCCCCTTGGATTTAAGATATTGAAAGTTCTAGAAGATACCTTCTGTTACCCTTTACCCTGGGTCTCTTTAGAACTTTTACTGAGCTGGTCATTCCTTTAAAGGGAGCAGTGTTTGTGAACCGTACTGTTTCTTGAGCAAGCCACACTGCGTTTAGAATAATGAGGGTTTTCAGTGATGCACACTTATAGACACGACACTTCCACACACCGTCACTTAAACATGACAAAGTCCTTCAAACCTAATTTTGTTACACTGAAGAATTTAAAAAACAGGGGGGGGGTGTAACTGTTCCAAAACACCAACACAGAAACTCACTCAAAAGCACATACCTGTGTGGGTCTGCTGGCTGGGGGAAAAATAAGTTGGATGTGACTAAAGTAACGGCGTGACAGATTTCAGGGGGAAACAAATTAAAACGATGAAGAGAACGGAGAAGAAAGCTGCAGACAGCTGCACTGGCGTCTATAAACTGCTCTTCCTCTTGGAGACAGAGCAGCGAGCTCTAAGGTGCCGTGCGGAGTGCCAGGGGTGGCCACGATGCCAGGGTAGGACCAGCAGCCCCGGCCGACACAGAATGCTGCCCTGTGGAGCTCACCACAGGCCCGATGGGCGGAACTGAGGGGTTTGTCAGGCTGAGTTGCAGACAAAACAGAGAACTCCCAGGAAAGCACCAGCTCATCTTCAAACATTCTGGTGAGGGACTAAAAGGAATGCGCCACAAAGTCACGGGAAGACGGGAGATCTTAGGTGCACCTCACTAAGGGAAAGAGTTGATCTGAGAAGGCTACCCGCGTTTGAGTCCAACCGTGCGGAGAAGGCAAAACCGCAGACACAGTGAAAACCTGAGGGTTAGCAGGGAAGGAAGCTGCATCCTTCAGCTCGCTGTGTTAGGGATGGGACAGCTTCCAGTCTTTTCTTCCCAGAAGCAGGAAGTTGTGGGAAATGAGCTCCTAAAGCCCACTGCTGCCCTGGTATGGCAAGGACACACTGCCTATCTCAAGAGAAATCTTCTAAACGAGCCTAGACACATACAATGCAGCTCATTATTTTCCGTCTTCCCTCTCTGTTTTGGTTTCTTTGCTGCTAGCCAGTGAGTGCAGGGAAACCAGAGTGAGTACATGCTTACAACATGCACACTTAGCACGTTCACTGCCCTGTGCCACACACACACTTCCTGCTGTCATGGCCAAAGCAAGCTCTTCCCTGGCAAGGACCAGTTCAAACCGTCTATCAGAGCGCATCAGCGACCGCTAAAGACGGCAAACGAGGCAGATCACACAGCACAAATGTGGCTTGAGGGGTTCGGCACACTTTCCCGGTGCTGGGATTGAACCCAGGGCCGTGTGACGTTAGGCAAGAGCTCTATCCCCGAGCTACACCTCCAGCCTCAGACCAGTGTTTTAAAAACTCACCTCAAAGACCACTCACTCACACAGTAAACTGCCCTGGGTTTTTTTGTTTGTTTGTTTGTTTGTTTGTTTTGGTTTTTCAAGACAGGGTTTCTCTGTATTGTTTTAGAGCCTGTCCTGGAGCCTGCTCTGTAGACCAGGATGGTCTTGAACTCACAGAGATTCACCTGCCTCCCGAGTGCTGGGATTAAAGGCGTGCACCACCAACACCCGGCTCAATAATTAACTCTTAAGAGGCAAACCTCTTCAAAGCATGAGAACACAGTCAGGCTCCAAGGAACCTTTTCCTTTAAACTGCTTAAGATACGGTTTATACAAGAAAACAAGGAGCTTGCTGCCCAAAGCAGGCAAACTCATCTCTCCGGGCTAGCAGTGTTTGAACAACTTCAGATACAGACAGACTGGACTAGGTCAAGGAACTCAGCTGCTTCTACAGACTGATCTTTTAATTGACCCAGCCCACCCAAGTGGACTCTACCCTTCGCCTAGATAAGATACTAGAAACACCGATGGAAGACTAATTCAACTAATTCACGTAAAACGTGTGTATACTGACGTGGTTCAAGGCCAGCCTGGGCTAGATAGCATGTTCCAGGCTACATAAGTCGTCCTTACCTCAAAACAACTAGGGACTGGACTAGGCATGGTAGGCAACCATTCTACTGAGCTACAGCCCCAACCCAAAAGTATACTCTTCCTTATGTAGCTCAACATCAAATAAAATATATCCTCAAAGGAATTACAGTACTTAGAACCGTTTCTAAGCACTCAGGAGGCAGAGGTAGATGGAGCTCCGGGAGTTCAAGGTCAGCCTGCTCTACATAGGGGGTTACAGGCCAGCCAGGGGTACCCAGGGAGACCCTGTCTGAAAAAAACAAACAACAACAACAAAATAATGAAATCCACAACACCGCCTAACACAACGGTGGATTTTACAGTGGAAACTGAGTGTTTTTCACAACAGACTTTAACCTTCCTTTAACCGATTCACGATAAACCTGTTAGAAAGGATGTTAGAACTGCCCCTCCAAAAGCCACAGGGATGTAGAGTTCACCCGTGGCCTTGAGGTGATGACAGCTGCACACGTAATCCCCAGGAGACCCTCCATGTTCCTTGGTTTCACTAGACTGAACGCATTAACCCACACAGCAGCAGCAACGGCGTCTGCTGAGGCTCCACGTGACTAACTTACCTGCGCGTCTTCAGGTCCACTCCGCCACCTGTTACGTGGAGCTCTGACAGGGCCATTTATTGGTCCCTAGTAAGCTAGCTAACTACATGCAGAGAGGTTAGAGACAGAATTGTCACGTCGTTGTAACAAACACGTAAATGCCCTTCTCCCAAACTCCACAGGCCAGTCTAACTTACTCTCCCAGGTCATGGTGTCTTGAATGACAGTGAGTTCAAGGTGACATCCTCACAACTGCAGCAAATCCCACCTTCCCAGCCAGGTCGCTCTCCTGAGCCCCTCTACTCTGTCAAAACCACATGGTCTGATACTTCAGCACCTGGGATGGCCTTGCCAGGATTCGAACCTGGATCATCTGTATGGTCAGACAGAGGCTTCCAAAGAGCACAAGACCAGCTGCGGGTGCACATCCCTTCCTCACAGTTAAATTCTGAAGCTCCAGGCGTTTGGGAGAATAAGAGGGACACACTTTAGAGAACGGTTAGCTGTGTGGTTTGCGCCTCCCTAAAGGACACTCCCGCACCACGCCCTCTTACATACACCAGCGGCAGAGACAAAATCGCTCATGGGACCTGACAGCCCAACAAGGAGTGTGGCAAGCACTTTACCTTGGTATCTTTCCAGATGTGGCAAAGCTCTGGACCGCTGTGGGGGCAAATTTACTCTTGGATCCCTAACCGTCAATCCCAGAACAGAACCTGCAGGGATTTCCGCTGGTGACGATATCCCTTCAACAAAACAGAAAAGGGAGGAATGTATACAAAGCAAGCTTACAGAAAGGCTCCCACAGGGCAGGCAGTAAGGCTTAGGGAGTAAAGGTACTTGCTGCCAACCGTGAAGATCTAAGTCTACTCCCTGAGTGAAAAGGGAGAGAACTGAGCTCCACACACAAATAATAAATGTAATAAAAATGTTTTAAATAAAAAAAAGTCACAATACATATTAATGCAGTATGTTGTAGTTTGAAATCTTTCAGATTTTTCCAATGAAACTATTTTCTCAGGATAACTATTTTAAAATACATATCACCTTTTCCCCACTAATACACTTGGGAAATATATCAACACTTTAAAGTTTCTTGCAAAATAAAACTTAAAGGACATAAAAATTGTCATCCTACATGAACACATGAGCTATATGCATACAAGGGGCAGTAAGTTAGTATCTGCTTGGCCACTTATAACTTCAGAATGCTAGTTATTCAGAATAGGAATGACCTTTTATTTCATAAACGAGCACAATGCTTTTATTTTAGATTCTGGGCCTCTTACTTGCTTCTCTAGTCATAGCACAACAAATAAAAAGCTCGAGGAACAACACTCATTCGGGGCCAAGTGCAGGCTGCCGCGCCCAGCCCTGCCCAGCCACCTGCTCTCCTCACTCCCCTCCTCCCCAGCCACCTGCTGTCGTCACTCCCTTCCCCCCCAGCCACCTGCTCTCCTCACTCCCCTTCCTCCCCAGCACAACCAGAGACCCTACCCTACCTCCCAGCAACTGAAACACTGCTTCTTGTCTCTGATGAAGGATGACTCCATCGGAGCTCCTGCAAGTGTCCCTCCACCAGTGATGGGGCGTCTCCTCTGCATCCTCTTCCTCCTGGGAAACAAGAACTCCATCTCAGCAGAAGAATGATGAGCCAGGCCTAATAATCGCTACATTGTAGCACGGTTGTAACACGATCGATCGGCTCTACCCCCTTTGTTTCTGGGTGTGAGGATTAACTGTTTCACAAGGAGCGGCAGTGAAGACCTAACTGTCCTTAAGACAACAATTACTACCAGACTAAACACTCTAGTTAGAGATTTCACATACACGGAAACACAGCCATGCTTTTCGAAGACTTAGCTAAGCACTGCCGCACTCCTGTGCACGACTCCAACAGAGACACTGGCCCTCTCCCGCTCTCGCCACCATCATTGCTAAGCAATAAAAATGATCGTTTATCAGCAAACCAGTGAAAAGCCTCAAGTACACACTATTATTAACAACAATGGGTAAGATGCTCACACTTCACGTCTTGGCAAGACTGGGCTTTAGCAAGGTTTCCAAAGTGTCTCAAGTTCTAGATGCGGGTCAGACATGACGACTGAGAGCCATGGTTGTGCTGAAAGAGGCCCCGGCCCCTAAAGGGGTAACCTGTGAGGCAGGTGCCACTCACCTCACAGAACACAGGCAGCACGGCTCTGGAACCAAACCCGAGTTCCCATCTTTACTCCACCTAAGGCACATGGTGGGCCTGTCTGTGTGCCGGGCACTATGCCTAGCGCTGCAGACAGTAGAGGGCAGGACGGGGCCTGCCTGCCATCAGGCATCAGAGGCCAATAAGAGACACAGATACAAGGACAAGACTGGACCAGTGAGCTGAGGAAACGCCCAGGGTACTACAGAACAACAGGGGGTGAGGGTTCCAGAGGAACACAGACTGGACGAGACAGGCTGAAACTGGACGGACGAGGAACTTTTAGCCCAACCAAGAGTAGCACAAGAGAATGTTCAACGGGCTGAAAGTGTGAGTCAAGGGAACTGGGCACAAATCTGCCTGGTCTAGCATGACGGTCACATTTACTCACTGTGTGTAGAGGAGCAGCCCTCAGTGCCGAGGTCAGGACACAGTGGGAAAGGGGACCAATCAGCCGGAACCTGTTCATCTCCATCGTCAGATCACTGAGGAAAGACCGTTAAACACAACTTCCATCACAGGCGATGCCTACATGTTGTGTGATATGTTGTTTGCGTTCTGACAGATAAAGCATGCCTGGAGATGAGAGGGCAGAGCTGGCCGCTAGTTAACCATGGAGGCCAGGCAGTGGTGGCTCACACCTTTGATCCCAGCATGGGAGGCATACGCCTTTAATGGCAGCACTAGGGAGGTAGAGACAGGATCGGCCCCATTAACTCTGAGGCGTTGCAGCGACAGAATCTGGCCCTTTCGGTCAGAGGATTCCAAGCGGTAAGAAGTCCTTCTAAGAAGTCCTTCTAGTGGCTGGCTGCTCTGCTTCTCTGATCTTCTAGCTTTCCCTCTAATATCTGACTCCGGGTTTTCATTGTTAAGAACAATTAGGGTCACACTTCATCTATACCACTGGCAAAAATAGGACAAATCATAGCAGACATGGTAGCACACAGGACAAGTCATAGCCACACATAACACGCCTTTAATCCCAGCACTCAGGAGGCAGAGGCAGGCAGATCTGAGTTTGAGGCCAACCTGGTCTACACAGTGAGTTCCAAGTACAGCCAGGGCTACAGAGAAAAACCGTGCCATGAAAAGCCGAAAGGAGTAAAAGGGGGAGTGAGATCTTCACTCAATACCCAGGGTCCCACAGAGAACTCAGCTCCTACCTGATGACAACCCCTGTAGCAGGAGAGAGCCATGAACGTGGCTGACACGGGTCTCTAGTCCCATCACCAATAATTTTCTTAGTCCGTTTAGCACCTTCTTCACCATCTTCCCGTTTTCTTTTCTTGCCAATTTTGTCATCAGCTAGTTCAGGCTGATTTTCCTCTTGGGCTGGTGTCGGGAGTGGGTCAGGAACACAGACACTTGACTTGACGGGTTCTGAACACTGGCACGTCGTTTTCATTTCCTCCAGGACAGCCTGAGGAAGTGGTTAAACATTGGCTTTGAAATTTAAACAGAGGGTTGGGGAGGCACCTCTCAGTGGTTAAGCCCACCAGCTGCTCTTGCAGAAGACCCCGGGTTAAGTCTCACCTACACTAAACTGTTTGTTACTCCAGTTCCAGGCAACTAGACAATCTCTTCCAGACTCCATGGGCACCAGGGACACGCATGATGCACAGATACACACGCAAGCAAAACACCCACACACATAAGATAGGAACAAATACATCCTTAATAAACATGTCTGAATTAAATGCAGTGTTACAAATCGACAGAGATAGGTGTCTTCATTGTGGCAACCATTAAACAATGTGTATATATTTATCAGATCATCATGTTCAAGGTAAATATATCCATTCTTTGTTCAGTACTCTTAGATAAAAAAAAATTTTTAATAAAGAAGTATCAGTCAGGTATGGTGGCACATGGCTTTAATCCCAGAGCTTGGGAGACAGAACCAGGCTGATCTCTGTGATTTTGAGGTCAGTTTAGTCTACATAGCAAACCCAGGACCACAAGGGTTACACAGATCCTGTTTCAAAAAAAAAAATTGAAGGAAGGAAACAAAATTTTAATTGATATATTAAAAAAGTGTCTTATCACTGGGCAGTGGTGGTGCACACCTTTAAGCCCAGTGCTTAGGAGGCAGAGGCAGGTGGATCTCTGTGAGTTTGAGACCAGCTTAGTCTATAAGATCTAGTTTCAGGACAGCCTCCAAAGCTACCCTGTCTTGAAAAACCAAAAAAAAAAGTGTCATGATGCCAGTCTGTCAGCCAAACTTTTTGTTTTTGTTTTTTTGTTTTATCGAGACAGGGTTTCTTTGTATTATTTTGAAGCCTGCCCTGGAACTTGCTTGGTAGAGATCCACCTGCCTCTGCTTCCCAAGTGCTGGGGATTAAGGGCGTGTGCCACCAACGCCCAGCTCAGCCAACTTTCATGCCACTGAAATTTCTAAACTATTATCTCCCAATGGTAATGAAGAACGTGACAGTAAGCAGTTGAGATGGCTCGGGAGGTAAATGGGATTGTCACCAAGTCTGATGACATGAGTTTGATCCCTGGTACCCTCGTGGTGGAGGGAAGGAAAGAGTGGATTTCCACAAGACCTCCACACGTGTACCCGCACTGTGTAAAAATAAGTGGATGCAACAGAACGGTGTACCCGCGCACTGTGTAGTTAGTAAGCAGAATGAAACAGAACGGTGTACCCGCGCACTGTGTAGTTAGTAAGCAGAATGAAACAGAACGGTGTAACCCGCGCACCGTGTAGTTAGTAAGCAGAATGAAACAGAACGGTGTACCCGCGCACTGTGTAGTTAGTAAGCAGAATGAAACAGAACGGCGTACCAGCTTAAGCGTTGGATGAAGCCAGATCCACAACTGCCTATCCTCAGAAGTGTCCCCGGGGGTCGTCTTAGACTTCCAAATGAACGTAACGGGCCCAAGCATTTCTCTGGGATACCTATTCGCCCGGTAAAGCATGACACTCCCTTGCCGCTTCCCAGACAAGCAGTGAACTGCAGCAAAAGTCAGCCCTGGAACACACACAAACAAGACACTGAGACTTCAATGTTCGCACACCGAGAGCCACACTGTCGACCCGTGTCTCCATGAGAGACGCAGCTTTGGTTCTTTTAAGCTGCGGCACACAGTAAGTTCTCAAAATGAGTTGTTAAATGGATGATTTAGTGAGTTTCAAGTTGTTTCTACCTGAGCTTACTTCACAGAATAATGGCTTACTTTACACATAAGAATGTCATTAAAGATTTAAGTTATCAGCTAGAATCCTCTTCCGGAAACAGAAGCAGATGCAGAAACCCACAACAACCAATGGATCAAGCTCCTGGAATAAAATCGAAGTGAGGGAGGAGCGATAATAGGAACAAAGGAGTCAAGACCGTGATGGGGAAACCCACAGCATCAGCTGACCCGAGCTAGTGAGAGATCACTGACTCAGGTCTGACAAATGGGGAACCTGCATAAGACTGAACTAGACTCCCTTAATATAGGTGACAGTGGTGTGGCTGGGACAATATATGAGGCCACTGGCAGTGGGTCCAGGATCTAACTCTAATGCACAAACTGACTTAGTGGAGCCCATTCTATATGGAGAGGCACCTTGCCCAGCCTAGACACAGGGGTGTCGGGTGGAGAGGTGCCTTGGTCCTGCCTCAATGAGATGATGGGACAGACTTAGTAGACTTCCTAGGGGAGGCCTCACCCTCTCCAAGGAGCAGATAGGAGGAAGGGGGAGAGGAGTGGGAGGAGAGGAGGGAATGGGAACTGGGGTTAAAATGTAAAAAATAAATTAAAAAACAAAGATTTAAATATCAACTCAGCACTTCTTACATTAACATACTCACTGTGAATAAGAATATCTCATACATCCTCATACTAAAACTGTAAAATGCTTATAGTAGACATTCATTCAACCAGTTCATAAATACACAATGATTAAAGCAGAATCTGGCTTTGGAAGAGATTACCTGTGTCTGTGCTACACATCTGAGAAAGAGCCTTCAGTATTTCTTCCTCTTTGCCTTTCAACTCCAAACAACAGTAATATGACAAGTCCTGAACAAAGGAGAAAAGTAATTATATATGTTATGATCCGTTATATAGTTTTTCAAAAAAATGCTGTGCTGGAGAGATGGCTCAGAGGTTAAGGGCACCAGAGGATCAGGGTTGAATTCCCAGCAACCATAGGGTGGCTCACAACCATCTGTAGTGAGATCCGGTGCCCTCTTCTGGCCTGCAGCGTACATAATAAATACGTATTTACAAAAAATAAAAGCTAAGAAGCCAATGCCGTATCAGAAACCTGCTGAGGGACACGGAGGTTAAGAGTTTGCAATGCTCACTGGGTGGTGGTGGCGCACACCTTTAATCCCAGCACTCGGGAGGCAGAGGCAGGCGGATCTCCGTGAGTCCGAGGCCGGGCTGGACCGACAGCCTCCAAAACAATACAGAGAAACCCTGTCTCATAAAAAAATAAAAAAATAAAAAAAAAAGAGTTTGCAATGCTCTTGCAGGGGACCCAAGTTTAAGTCCCAGCACCTATTCTGGGTGGTTCACAACTACGTAAGTCCAGCTCCAGAGGGGATCTGATCTAACACCTGTTGTCAGACACAAAACCGATCACCCAAAGCCAGCTTTTCAACAACTCAAAACCTGCAGCCTGCCTGACTCCAAGCTCAGGAGCTGCACGGTGACAGGCGAGTTACCCAGATGTCTGTAACTTCTTCTCGTCACCTGGAAAACAAAAATTTCCGACCTCATTCTGCTGTTGTAAGGACCGAGTGAAGAGTGAACCACCTAAAACACTGAAAGACGGCTGGATGCAGGCTCTTCTAGTCCAGCACCGACTAGTGAGACCCTGTCTCAAAAACACACAAGGCTGGCACATATCCCTTCCGCCCATACACGTGGGTACAATTGTCAGACGTCTCTCTCCCGCTAACCCTGCTCCATCTCCAGCATCCAGCAGTGTCCCCCTCCTCAGAGAGAAGACCTTACCACACCAGACAATTCCACAAGTGAGCACCTGTAGGAGGCAGAGATGGGTCATGGCGCGGTAGCAGGCCCGGTGGCTCTTGGCCGTGGGCCTCTCCCCGAGGCAGTAACCCCACTTCTTCGCCATGTGGAACCGTTTGGCGTGCCAGATGTGAGTCTCCAGCCATATATTCTTCTTCTGTCTGCGGTTGAATTCCAGCGTCCGGTTGACATGACACCTCCGGGCTTTGTGGCATTTATTCTTTGAGTGTTCTTTCTTCTGGTGAGCGGCTTTCTCTGCCTACGGTGCAAAGAAGAAAGGCTGACCCTGGTGTGTAAGCACCTGAGAGCACGGCTGAACACCAGGAATTCATAAGACTGGTTAGCTTGGGGTCTCCTCCGACGTTGATCAGAGAGGGAGACAATGACAAGTGTGAAGACTTCAGAGGCTAGAAAAAGGGAGCAGCATTCTAACGCCTGCTCACGGGGCAAGCCCCATCTTTCCTGAAGAAACAATACTTATAAAATATCAACACACAGGGCTGGAGAGATGGCTCGGGGGTTTACAGCACATGTTCTTGCAAAAGACCCAGGTTCAATTCCCAGCACCCACATGGTGGCTCACAACCATCCATAATAAATTCGGGTGCCCTTTTCTGGTTGCCTGGGTTCCAGGTGTGTACACAGCCCACATACATATATACATGCAGGGAAACATTCATACACATAGAACAAAGCAAACAAATGTAAACAAGAAAAAAGTTCAGCGTAGTAATATAAGCTTCCTGTGGCTACCAGCAGAGAGCAAGATGAGTCAAACACTAGCTACTTTTTAACCTTCACTTAAGATCAGAAACAGAGAAACAGGAACACCAAAACACCAAATCATTCGCTCCATTTAGGCTACATTTTGCTAAGAAACAAACCCACATTCAATCGAGAAGGTACAGAATTGCTGGTTAGTTTCCACACTTAAATCTCTTCCATTATTAAAGCTAACCTTCTTTGAAAACAAACTCTATAAATTTGAAGGCCCCTTGTAAGACAAGGGTTCCAACTTGCTGAACTCTAACCCGCACCCAGCCTAGCGCCAGCACACGGCGGGCAGCTGATAAACACATTTTGATCCACATAGCAAAGACACAGGTAGCTCAACCGGTTTTAGAGTAGAGCCCAAACATAACTAGATTTGTACAGAAATTGAAACCAAGTTCAGGCTCCCAACTTTAAAAAAGCCAGACAGCAAACGCTAAGCAGTGATGCCACTGTCTTCCAGCCTGCCAACTCTGAGCCGGCCAGACTCTAAAAACACAGGGTCTAAAATAAGTATCCGCTGGGAGAAATCAGAATTATTTCTGAATTTTACTGCGTGTGTTTGCGTGTTCATACACACACAGCAGGGCTATGGCTCACATGTAGAGGTCAGATGAGACAACCTAAGGGAGTCATTTTTTCTTTCCCACCATGTGGACCCGGGGAACAAACTCAGATTGTGGGTCTTGACAGCATGAGCCTTTAGTAGGTGAGCCATCTCACTGGCCCTCAGATTCATTAACTGATCCCACACCCTAAGCAAGAGGAGGTTTCTCTCAGTACGATGGCCCTGTAAGCCCAGCACTAGGGCTGTAAAGGAGGAGGGGAGAGAGGGGGGAGGGAGGGAGGGAGGGAGGGAGGGAGGGAGGGAGGGAGGGAGGGAGGGAGGGAGGGAGGGAGGCGTTCCAAATGCTGTATTTTAAATTCTGTGTTTTGGAGTAAGATGGGGTCTCACTATGTTGTCCTGGCTGTCCTGGAAGCTCACCCTGTAGACCAGGCTGGTCTCAAACTGAGAGCTTCACCTGCCTCTGCTTCCTGAGTGCTGGGATGAAAGAACTACTAAAAGCAGCTACAATATCTAACTACCTGCTAAAGTAGCTAGAGAAGGTAGACTGGGCTAGATCACAATCAAACTAAAAACGCTCACGCAAAGAAAAGAAAGAATATCACAGTAGTATGCTCATTTCGTTAAAATCCTTTCAGGTCACACTTGCTAATACTTCTAGGAACCACTAACCTAAATGTTAACACTAAATGAAACGCCTACCTCTTTTTTGGCCATCTCCTGCAACCGTCTAGGGAGGCGTTTGACGTTGTGGCTCATGGCTCTTCGCCGCATGTGCCGTGGAAGAGTCTGGAAAACCAGGGAATTCGACGACTTCTGGGCCACGGCTTTTAACATAGCACTGATCTCAGCCGCTCGTGCCTGAGCAAACGTAGAAGCTGTGAAGAAATGGAAGGTCACTAGCAGAGAGCCCTGAGTCAGCAGTCTCCCTGCTGGGTTTCAGCAGGATCAGACACTGTGACTCCTGTGAGGTAAGCTCCAATACTGGTCATTTCTGTGTCCTAGTCCCTCAAGAAGATTCTTCAAAAAAAATTTACAATTTGTTTTGTTTTGGTTTTTTGTTTGTTTTTTTCCGGTTTTTCCAGACAGGGTTTCTCCGTAGCTTTAGAGCCTGTCCTGGAACTCACTCTGTAGACCAGGCTGGCCTAGAACTCACAGAGATCCGCCTGCCTCTGCTCCCTCCATCCCACCCCCTACTCCCCCCCCACCCCTTCAACCCCTACACCCTGAGTGCTGAGATTAAAGACATGTGCCACCACTGCCTGACTTTTCATCTTTTTCTTGGGGGGGGGGGGGGTGTTCTAAAAGAATTCCATTTTCTAGTTAGGAAAAATTCCTAGCTTCCTAACTGTTCTATTCAGTAAAAAAGGTTAGCCAACTTTAGGGGTTTTGAAGAAGAGAGATCACAATACACAGTCACGTAATATAATCACAACCAGCGTTTCCCAGTCTCTTTAACTCTGCATCGTGCCGTGTGCACATGACGCATTGTGGCTACATGCACCCGGACTCACACATGCAGAGGCCAGAGGAAGACGTGTGTCTGTGTGTCCCTCTCATTCTCTAACTCATCCCCCTGGGACTGGGTCTCCAGCCGGAACTGTAAGCTCACTGGCTGGGTAGACCGGCCGGCCAGCAAGTTCCCAGGTCAACCATGCCCAGCTTTCCACACGAGCACTAGAGATTCAGACTCAGGTTCTGTGTTTACACTTAGCCACCCCCTGCCCTAATCATAACTGTTCTTAATCACAACATTCACAAATGAAAACAACAAAGGGAAAAAAATTACAAGGGGGTTTTCTGCTTTTTCAAAGCTTATAATAATAATTATTGGTTTTCCTCACTGAAAAACAGAATAGGTCTCCAGCTTCTCTCTCTGTATCTATTTCTGTAAACCTGGTCTAGAGAAAGAAGCAGATTAACCTAAGAAGGAATGGAGACACTGGAGCATCTAACTTAGGTTGACGGAACAGAGTTCAGGGGAAAGTGGGATGGGGGTGATACATGGGACTCCAGGCTTTAAGACTCTGTTTCTACACAAACGCAGAGCACCATACTGAAGAGTGTGCAGTGCTTTGGTCGGGGGAGATGGAAGTTAGGGGAACGGCTTACGAATAGATTTATAAGACGACTCAGAGGATCTGAAGAAGGGAGAGCCACCAGCTTAAGGATACAATGGTCAAAGTCCAGGCTAGAGGTGAGCGGCGGTTAGAACAGAGAGACATGGGAGGCAGCCCCCGTGCTGACACTAGAAACCTAGCTTCCTCCGGAGCACCTACCCGTTATATACTTGGGGATCTCCTGGGACGCGCCCTCAGGACCCGCCTTCCAGCCTCCCTTTTTCTTGAACATGGTTTTGGAGGAAGACTGTTCGTTCACGTCAGACTCGGGAAGCACGTGGGGGCCCGTCTTGACTTGCCACTGCTGTGAGGTTCCAGAATGAAGCTCTAGGACATTTTCAAAGACAAAACAAAAAGAAACGTCACCCACACACACCAGAGACAGGGTTACAGGAGAGAATCAACTTGCTAACCCCACAACCACCCTACAGTTTTCATTACTTGCTCTCTCTCTCTCCCTCCCCCCCTCTCTCTCTCGTGTGTGTGTGTGTGTGTGTGTGTGTGTGTGTGTGTGTGTGTGTGTGTGTGTATGTATGTATGTGTGTGTGTGTGTGTGTGAGACTGTGTGCAAGCACAGGTTCTAAGGACTGAACTCAGGTCTCCAGGCTCACCTATCAAACGCTTTTACCCTCTGGGTCATCTCATAGGCCCCACTACCTGTTTTTAAAGAAAAATCTTAGGTAGGAAAGTGACTTTCACAAGGACAAACCCAAGGCCACCAAGTGAGTAGGAAGCACCACAGACAGCCATGTCAGTGTGACACATTAACAGGGACAACAGGTAATCGTGTCAGTGTGACATGCTGACATGTACGACGGTAATCACATTGATGTGACATGTTAACAGAAACAAGGAAATTTTCCCCTTTGAGATTTCCAGTGTAACATGAATTATTAATCTAAGCCCTATAATTGCTATGGTATAAACGTTCGCAAACGGGAGAATTTTACAGAGTTCCTGTTTATTCCATTGGGATGTGGATTATTAAGCCACACATTAAAATGTTTGTTAGGGTGAGATTTAAATGGGATAAGATTTAAGAAGGGTGTACCACATGTCAAAGTTGTAGTCCCCTATTTCTAGATCTAAATCTAGAGCTTAAGAATTTAAATCTAGGGTCTGGAGAGATGGCTCAGAGGTTAAGACCACTGGCTGCTCTTCCAGAGGACCTGAGTTCAATTCCCAGCAACCACATGGTGGCTCACAACCATCTGTAATGAGATCTGGTGCCATCTTTCAGTGTGCAGGCAGACATGGAGACAGAACGCTGTACACATAACAAATAAACCTTAAAAAAGAAAGAGAGAGAGAATTCAAATCTAACGTTTACTCGATCAGACCCAAAGCTCTCTGCTCCCTAAACGAGAGCTTTCGGAACTAGGATTCGCTACTGCTGTCCCGTGAACACCTCTACCCTACCATTTCACAAGGGCCCGAGACTACCACATTGGTTAAATGGTGATACACTGACTACATCTCTCTCAGGAAACTCAGAAGTATAACTCAAACACATCCGCTCTAAAATACACATGGTCCTGCTACAGCAGCACGTCTGTTGGAAGTCAAGAGAGCACTGGGTGAACAGCAAACCGAGAGAGTTATCTCTCCTCCCTCCTCCTTTTTCTTCCCTCGTCTGTCTGTCCGTCCATCCGTCTGTCTGTCTGTCTGTCTCTCTCTCTCTCTCTCTCTCACACACACACACACACACACACACACACACACGAGTGGAAGAGAAAGCCTAATCTCATACAGATTATAATTTTATATGTCGTTATCACAATGACTCCAACATGGCACGTGACTGAAGGTCAGAGGGCAACTTTCAAAAGCCAGTTCTCTCTTTCCACCTGGGGTTTAGGGAATTGGAGCCCAGGTAGTCAGGCTTGGGTGGTCTGGGCATCTCCCACTGAGAACCTGACCCACTGAGCACATGACTCACTAAACACCCGACCCACTAAGCACATGACTCACTCAGCATAAAATTTTTATAAAATTTATTTATTACATATACAGTATTCTGTCTGCACGTATGCTTGCAAGCCAGAAGAGGGCGCCAGATCTCATGACAGATGTCTGTGAGCCACCATTGTGGTTGCCGGGAATTGAACTCAGGTCCTCTGGAAGAGCAGCCAGAGCTCTTAACCTCTGAGGTATCTATCTCAACAAAGCCCCTCACTCAGCATCTTACCAGGCTGTAATTTTAAAGTCTAGAAACGATTCATACTGGTGTTGATTCTATTGTCTTTATTCGGGAGGGAGGGAGGGAGGGAGGGAGAGAGAGAGAGAGAGAGAGAGAGAGAGAGAGAGAGAGAGAGAGAGAGAGAGAGAGAGATTCAAAAGTGTTAAGTGACGACCCCTACACTACTCTAGAGTCTTCATCTCTGATGATGTCTGAAGAGGAAAGCAGGAGCTGGGAGCTGACACTTGGGGCAGCTGAGGCTCCTCCGCTCTCCACACACCCAGGGATGACTCACGGCTCTCTTAAGTGTTAACATGGGGTCACAGGCAAACTTTAACCAGAAGGCAGATTCGCAAGCATAAACTCTGATAGCAAGAGTTTTCTGTATCTCTTTAAATCAATTTAAACCGTTCGCTTCCGAGATGACGGTTAGGAAACAAAGCTGGCCAAAGCGATTTAACCTGAACTGAAGTGGAGAGAGCAGTGTGTGCATCTTACCTTGTTTCTGAGATTGGGAAGGCCTCCCTCCTCCAAAATGATGCATTCCACCTCTGTCGGCCCCAAAGCCAGAGGCTAAGGTCACATTCGTGGGCTGGTTTCTCATTTTCTTAGCATGTTTTCTTTCTTTTGCATTAGACATTTCTGGAAGGAAAGCAATTCACTTAATCGAGGGGGAGAAAAACTCTTCATTTCAAAAATAAGGAACTGCCAGGCACGGTTGCTCACATCAGCATCTGGGAGGCAGAGGCAGGAGGCTCAAGTGTTCAAGGTTTTCCTTAGCTACACAGCACAAGAGCAGCCTGGGCTAGCTGAGACCATACTTCAAAACACAACAACAAAAGGATAGCTCAGCGGTGAAGGCACTCGCCGACAAACATAGCTCAGCGGTGAAGGCACTCGCCGACAAACATAGCTCGGCGGGTGAAGGCACTCGCCGACAAACATAGCTCGGCGGGTGAAGGCACTCGCCGACAAACCCGGCTGCCTGCGTTCAGTCCCTGAGACCTACACAGTGCAAAGAGAGGGCCCACTCCAAGTTGTCCTCTGACCACTACATGCCCACTGTGGCATACTCCCCCAAGAACCCACACAAATAAATAACAAAGGTAAAAAATAATAAACTCAATAAATATTTACGTAACTCAAAATCTGGTTGACACCAAAATGTTTCCATACTAATCTATACCAGGTGTTCCAAAAAAGAGAAATTCCAGTGAAGTCATGAATGATAGCCATACCCCCAAACTCATCCCAATAGAAAGTACGACCTTTACGCACATGAAGCAGAGGCCCCAGATCCCTCTGTATCCTCCAACTTTACACACATGAGGCAGAGGTCCTAGATCCGTCTCTCCCATGGACCGAGAGAGAGACAGAGGTATAATGACCAGCACCGCAGTGACAGCATGCTAACGATGGAATCCTTCAACCAAGGTAACGGGATCTAGTGTTGGTAGCACCTGTGTCCCAACCCCTGCTTGCCCACTGACTGCCAAAGCATGAGCTGGGACTGTCTCCCTGGGCCTTGGCTTCTCTCTGTGAAACAGAGACAAGCACCCACCTCGTGGTTGTCCTAAGTACTGGATAAGAATGCAGAAGACAGAAAGGTGTGGGATTTGGTTTCTATGTGTGTCACAGCTGCACTGCAGCTGGGATTTTCCAAGTTGGGTTTCTTAAAAACTGTTCTGTTGGCGAGAGGGCTGAGACAGGGTCTCTCTGTGTAAACCAGACTGGCCTCGAACCTACAGAGATCTGCCTGCCTCTGCTTCCCAGGTGCCAGGATTAAAGATGTGCACCCCCCCCCAAAAAAAGGGAAAAAAAGAAGTTGTGAAAGGAGCTCTCTTTTTATTATTATTATTGTTATTAAGTCTGTTTTTTTTTTTGATCAGTGTGATCTGGCTTCCAAGCAGAAACTATTTTTAAAAAATCTTCTAAAGGTCTAATTTTACATACACTTTTTTTTTTTTTTTGGTTTTTCGAGACAGGGTTTCTCTGTGGCTTTAGAGGCTGTCCTGGAACTCACTTTGTAGACCAGGCTGGCCTCGAACTCACAGAGATCCGCCTGCCTCTGCCTCCCAAGTGCTGGGATTAAAGGCGTGTGCCACCAACGCCCGGCTACATACACTTTGAAACATCTGTCTTTATCCAAACCAGAAAGCAGTAACCTCAGAGTAATTCCTCTGTAGCTGTCAAATGCTTCATAACATGAAAACCAGGGAAACTAAAAGGACAAAAAAAAAATTTACGTATTTCCCACTCAATTGTTGTGAAAGGAGTTCTTAATTGGTCTAGGTAATAAAAGGCCTGAGCCAGATAAACGAGGGAAACGCTGAGGGATCAGAGAGAAGGAGCCAGCCACAGCCACACTTTACCTCCTTAAAGCATCTCCGCAGAGAAGACAGCAATTTCCTGTTTCTCCGAGGCTACATCACTCGCTATCTGTCTGTGCAGACCTCCAGACCTCTATGGTTAGCTAGTTGCAAGCTCCCATTCTCTGACCCCGAGACAGGCTTTATTTGTACCACAAGCCGTACGTTTCTTAGCAAGGTGTGCTGCTGCTGTGTGCTTTTATAAACCCAGTACTCGGGTGGCTAGAGGTCAATCTGAGCTTGCACAGCATGTACCAGGCCAGCCAAGGGCTTCACACGTCTCGACCCTGTCTCAAAAACACAAGCCAACAGAAAAATCTCTTCGTGGAACTCCCCCAACTGGCAAACTTCGCATCGCCAAATAATCAGACTACCCACAAACGCTAACAATGCGTGAAGTGATGGGAGACAAGGTCGCTAGAATCAGATTACTGTAACATTTTACCTTTTAACATTTTATCTCTGCTCTTGGATGACATAAGAGGCACCAGAGTAGATTAAAATTAGAACATCTGATTCCAAAAAAGCACTGATATTTTCACGCAGGCCGCTGAGCCGAGCCGAGCTGAGGCTCTAGCTAGCTTAGCATCTTTAACGTGTAAAGAACCAACAGGCGGTTTTGACTTGACGTGAAACCCACGAAGGACGACAAAAAAAAAAAAAAAAAAAAAAAAAAAAACCTCGGTAGTTCCCAGATCTGAAAACACCTGGGGTTTTTTTGTTGTTTGTTTGTTTTTAATGGGGATAAAAACTCATGGCACGGCTGAGCAGAGAAGACCTAACTTTCAACAACGCCCCTCTGCCACGCTGACATAAAGACCTGGAAGGTTATGGTAATTGAAACCATGTGCATTTCTGTATGTATTGTTTTTCTTTCCACAACCACGCCAGACGACGCTCTGAAACGAGGACTTCCGAACCAACACAGGCGCTGCCATGCACGACCCGTAAAACCGGAGAGAGGCCCTCACTCACCCGCCTCGGGCCACAACCAGACCCCCAGTCCCCGGTGGCTCAGATCGCGAGGGGGGACCTTGCAGAGAGAGGGGGTGACAAGAAGGCAGACTACACCTCCGCATGGTCCCCACACACCCCAGTGACCCACCCAGGTCCTTCAGGGAGACCCGGGAAAGCGATGCGAGCGCATTCCCAGGGCGGGGTCTGCCCCGCAGGGCCAGGGCGAGCCGAGCGTGCAAGCGGGGGAGGGGGGGGCGGCGTCCGGGCAGCACGGAGCCCGGGCGAGAGGAGACAGACCCCGACCCCGCACCTGCAGGCGCGCGGCCCCCGCGAGCCGACGGAACCCCGGGTGAGGCCTCACCACCAACCTGCCAGACGGGGCTCCGAGGCTCCGCGCGCGTCCGAACGCTCCCACCGCAGCGGCTCAGAGAGCCAGAAAGCCAGCGAGCCTGCGGGCGAGCCGAGAGCGCATGCGCCCACTCCGCCGCCGCTTCCTCCACGTGCCCCGGAGTCGCGCGGGAACTACAATTCCCATCATGCCCTGCGAGTCCGTCCCCCCGGGGGCGGGGCCTCAGGCGCAAAAACCCTAGCACCTTAGGGGTTTGTCTTCGGAGAGGAGTGACCGGAGTGGCGGCGGCGGTTGCGGAGTCTTCTCCCTGAGAGGGTCTTCGTGAGAGGATCGACATGTCGTCCGTGATCAGAAAGGTGATCAGCACCACCAAAGCCCCGGCGGCCATCGGTGCCTACAGGTGAGGCTTCTCCTGCTCGCACCCATGGAGCAGCGGGTGTGTGAGCCGGGCCTCTGCGGGTGTGAGCGAGAAGAGGGTCTCTCGGGACCCACCCCCTTGTAGCGCGCGGGGAAACTGAGGCCAGAAAGGGGACCTTGCGCCCAGATCCCCCCACCCCAGGGAACAAGGGGGAGCCTTCGTGTGACCGGATGCTCGCACACTCCCGGGACTTTGCCCTCTATCTGGAGCTGCCTGGCCCTGGAGCCAAGCTCGCCCCCACGCTCGCCTTCTCTGATTAGCAGGGGCATCACCCACCCCTACCCCACACCCACACCCCCACCCCCTCGGCCTTCGCCCTTGTGGCTTCTGGCTTTGTTGTTTGTTTTACACAACTTTATTGAGATATACTCATTCCTTCGGTGGATACAATTCAGCGGCTTTTACCCTGCTGGAAAGTTGTCTGGCCATCACCACTTTCTGCTCTCGCATTATTTACATCCACCCCCAAATTAGCTTTCGTTCCAGTGAACTCATTCCCCCCGCCTTTTTGTTTTGTTTTGTTTTTCGAGACAGGGTTTCTCTGTGACTTTAGAGTCTGTCCTGGCACTAGCTCTTGTAGACCAGGCTGGTCTCGAACTCACAAAGCTCCATCTGCCTCTGCCTCCAGAGTGCTGGGATTAAAGGTGTGTGCCACCACCGCCCCTTACACCCACTTATTTAGGGTTTACCTGTTTACCTGCCCTCCAAAAAGAACCAGACACCATGTGGTCTGCTGTGACAGGCTTCTTTTTTTACAAACCAGCATGAAGCTTGACCTGACTCTTTCTTATTTCACAAGAGTAAAAAACCATCAGCACATATGCTTCCCCCCCCCTCCTGTGGACACCTGATCCACAGCGATGCCCAGCAAATCTCTGCACGTCTATCCAAGTCCTTGGTTTTTACAGCGTGTAGGCTGATGTTTATGAGTGGCCTGACCATGTTTGTCACTCATGCCAAATGCAAAGTGATTTTTGGAGATCGCCGTATATGCTGTAACTAAACATACGTGTACTGGACAGAAGAAAAAAATCACTTTGACATTTATTTTCACTTGCCAGAAGTGCTTTTCATTAGAAATGGTGCTTACTACTCTCTCTTCGATTGGTTTTCTGGGGGGTTGTGAAGGACAGGGTCTCTATGGATGTAGCTCAGTCTCATCTGGGGCCTGCAAGTCTCGTGTTTCAGCGTTCTTAGCACTGAGATGGGGACCAGCGCTCCTAACGGAAAATCTTATTTTCTCAAAATGCCTCCGCTTTAAAAAAAAAAAAAGATCCCTGGATCGTGTCTTATGTGTGCCTGCAAACTTTCTCCTCGATAATCTCTTTCTAAGCCTTCTCTGAAGTGTGTCTAGAGCCAATTTCCCTTTATGACAAAGTAGTTTCTGACGCAGTGTCTCTCCACTGTCAGAGCTGAAGATTTTCTATGGCTGCAACGTTGGGGAAGCGTAGATGCCAAGTACTTGACCGAGACAGAAATGTGTATGAAGTAACCCACTGTGAAAGGCCTTCACCTATATCTCAAAAAAAAAAAAGTGTTAGTTCGGTGGATGTTACACGTACGGCAGGCACCATGGCAACCGGCCACCACCTTCTCTCCCTTTGTAGTCAAAAGGACAAGAGAGGCTCAGGTCAGCAGTTTCAAGGTCGTAGAGTCTGCAGGTGACATCTTGGTTTGAGCCCAAACCCTAGCTGCCGGAATACCCCACTATCGAGAGAAATAACACAGGAATTGTTATAATAAATAGGGCTGGAAATGAAACTCGGCGGCATGAGAAACTGTATGAAAGGGAGGAAAACTGATCCTAATTTGGAGCAGAGAAAGAAAAAGAAAAAAAGAGACTTAGAAAGCTCCTTGTGAGAGGTAGTCAGGTTAAATTTTAAAGGTTGCACTTGCCGTCTCTGGCGGTGTTGTGAAGTCTGACTCTTCAAAGATGACTTGTTAAGGACTTGCATTGCTATCAGAGGAGCTAGCTTAAGCCAGGGCACTGAGGCAGAATACAGGATGTACAGTTGGGGGGTGGAGGAGGGGATAGTTTTGCATTTGCAATTGAACTGCTTTTTTTTTTCCTTCTCCCAAACTGTGTACCCGGTGTTTTATAACTTCGTACGTATTTTCTTTGAAATGACTCCCTTTCACTCGCTCTGTAGATCAGGCTGGCCTCGAACTCACAGAGATCCTCCTGCCTCTGTCTCCCGAGTGCTGGAATTAAAGGCGTGCACCACCAACGCCCATTCACTTAAATTAATTTTAAAAGGAAACTTAAACCTCTGAGACGGCTCAGAGGTTAAGAGCACCGACTGCTTTTCCAAAGGTGCTCTTGGTGGTGGCTCACAGCCATCTGTAATGATATCTGGCGCCCTCTTCTGGCCTGCAGTCATACATTCAGGCAGAACACTGTATACATAATAAATGTTTGTTTGTTTTTTTAAAGGAAACTTGATTAGAATATTCTAAATAGGAGCAATGCAACAGAAAGTAATTATTTAAAAAAAAAACTCCAGAATTCTATTTACATAGTACAGTTGGCTCAAAGCTTTGGGTCTGCTCTCTTTTGTTAAAAGTGTTTCTGGCTGGGGCTGGAGAGATGACTCAGCAGTTAAGGGCTCTGCCAGGGACCAAAGTTTGGTTCCCAGCACCCACATAGATCAGTTCACAACCATCTGTAACTGCAGCCCTGGGGATCCAACACCGTTTTGTAGGCTTCATGGGTGTGTGCACATGGGTGGTGTACACACACACATGCACATAAATGATAATAATTTTCCCATATGTTTCTGCCCAGGGTGGATATAGCTCAGAGAAAGAGCTCGCTGAGTGTGTGTGAAGCCCTGGATTTAATTCCCACAGTATGTTTTATAAGGGGTTGTTTCTGAAAGTTTTTTTTTTTCCTGAAAATAGTTTTATCAATCCTTAATGCAGTAAGAAGGGTCAGAACCACAGTTGCAATTCCTGCTGATGCTTCCTGGGCACTAACAGTGCACAGTTACTATTAAAGACTCCATGCTTCAGACGTAAGAGCTGACGTATGCCAAGCTGAATAATTTGCCAGGACCCCCCCCCCTTAAGTGGTATGGTGTAATACAGTTTGGAAGTGCTGTCATAGACTCCAGGGCTGATTCTGAACAATTTCATTTGTTGTCCCCAGCTTAGAAGGATTGAAAGACAACTAAAGAAAAATAAAAAAGGAATTCTTTTTTTTTTTTTTTTTTTTGAGACAGGGTTTCTCTGTGGCTTTGGAGGCTGTCCTGGAACTCACTCTGTAGACCAGGCTGGCCTCGAACTCACAGAGATCCGCCTGCCTCTGCCTCCCGAGTGCTGGGATTAAAGGCGTGCGCCACCAACGCCCGGCAAAAAAGGAATTCTTTTAATATGGGTCACTGCCTGTGGCTGAACTTCTGGGGAAAACATTAAAAAGTTGGCATTAAGAATTGAACTTTAGGAGGGAAAGGGAGAGGGACCTCGAACTGACTTGTGAAGCAACCTTGTTTCTTATCTAAATTTAAAATGGAAAATAAAAAAAAATAATAATAAAAAAAAAAAAAGAATTGAACTTTAGGCCAGGCGGTGGTGACGCATGCCTTTAATCCCAGCACTCGGGAGGCAGAGGCAGGTGGATCTCTGTGAGTTTGAGACCAGCCTGGTCTACAGAGCAAGTTCCAGGGCAGCCTGCAAAGCCACAGAGAAACCCTGTCTCGAAAAACCAAAAAAGAAAAAAATGCCAAGATTGACTAGTCAAATCAACAAGTCTAGGTTCCACTGAGAGACCCTGCCTTAATATTATATATTTATATAATATATATATAAAGTAAAGAGAGATTGCCCAAGACTCCCTATGTCAACATCTGGTCTCCATGGGCACATACATACCAAAACTCAAGAACATGTATACACACACACACCCCCACACACACTGTATTACATACAAGAGAGAGACAAGAAAACATAATATAATATTTCTGATTAACTTGGGATTGGTGAGGTAACTGCTCTGTCAGGCTGCAGTGGAGGGAAGAGAATCACCAAGAGTCTATGCCAGTCTGGAGGGAGAAAAACCATCAGCTGGCTTCATGGTGTCCGCACTTTCCGCTCTGTGTCCTGATGAAAGGGAGGAAGATGCGCCCTGGGCGTTTGGAAATAAAGGCTTTTGTGCGGGAGGTTTGTGGTGAGTACGCTCTGTGAGATTCTAGGTCCTCTGCAGGGAGAATTCTAATGTGCTGAGCTTTTCAGTCCTCAGCATTGGGATGGATGGGGTGTTGCCCCTGACTGATTAGCTTGCCGGCTCAGCACATTTTAGGATACAGAGGACAGAGTCTAGAGGGATTGCAACATCCGTGCTATTGCATGGCTCTCCGTTTTGTGAGCACTGCTGTATTGGAATGTTTTTGAGAGTTTTACTTCCCTTGATTTGGGGATTGGTTTGGTTCATTGTAGGTGTTTCTCTCTCTCTCTCTCTCTCTCTCTCTCTCTCTCTCTCTCTCTCTATATATATATATATATATATATATATATATATATATATATATCCCCCTCTATCTCTCTCCCTCCCCCCTCTGTCTCTCTCCTTCTCTCCCTCCCTCCTTCCCTCCCTTCCTCTCCCTCCCTCTCCCTCTCTCTCTCCTTCCTTCTCCCTCCCTCTCTTCCCCCCTCTCTCCCCCTCTGTGTTTCAGATGATCTCACTCTATAGTCCCATCCAGCCTAGAACTCACCACGCATTCCAGGCTAGCCTCACACCTGGTGATCCTCCTGAGTACAAGGAGTATAGGTTTGGACCATCATGCCCCAGTGTATGTCCAGCCAGGAAGTAGAATAAAATGCTATTTTAAATGTCTGGAGCCTCCGCAGGTGACATGGTTCAGCAGGCAGAGGCATCAGTGCTACAAACCCAGTGACTGACTTTGATCCCGGAACCTACATGGAACTCACACCCCCACCCCCACCCCTGCAGTGTACTCCATTTGCACGCACGCACGCACGCACGCACCAAGTTTAGTTCCCTATTCCCACATCAGGTAGTTCCCAACCACCTGTAACTCCAGTTCCAGGGAACCTGATGCCCTCTTCTGGCTTCCGGGCACCCACGCACGCACAATGTGGCATACACTCACACAAGCACATATACATCTTAGTAAAGATAAAGTCTGTTTGCAAAAATGATTTATTTCATTGTTTAATGTGTGAAGGTTTTGTTTGCATGTATGTCTGCACGCTGCATACCTGAAAAGGCCAGAAGAGGGCGCCATATCTCCTAGGACTGGAGTTAGAGGCAGTTGTGAGCTACCTTGTAGGTGCCTGGAATCGAACCTGGGTCCTCTGCCAGAGCCACAAGTCTTAACAACTGAGCCAACTCTCCAGCCCCAAAATAAACTCTGAAAATTAAACATTGCAAAATAATTCCTGGAACCTGACAACTGGATGGATTCTTAGGCCCAGAAAGTGTCAAGTAGCCGATTGGTTTTTTTTTTTGGTGACCAAACCTCTTTAAATCTTCGAGAGGTGTTTCACATAACTCAAATAGTCTCAGCATTCTGAGCAAATGATTTCTTTTCACTGTCATAAAGCGTTTGTTTGATCACCGATGAACGCATTTGAGTTTGAACTCTTTCGGGCGTCTGGAGAACTGAAGATATTTTTGTGAAGGGCCTACTGTAGATGGCCCGATTCTGCGAGGGTCGGTTAATGGTTAACCGATGGTACTGTTCAACCTGAGAAAAACCCACACGTTAACCAGCTCATTAGTTATCTGCCGGAAGGGTGCAGGTGAGAGACAGCCAGGAGTCCAAAGGAACTCTGTGCCTCTGCGTTGGCCGTCAGACCAACGCAGCCCTTGGAGGTCCTGCAGAGACACAGCTTCCACAGCCAGGATTGCTGGTGCCGAGAGCAAGCACAGCAGCAGACACAGCGTGAGCGCCATGTGCAGAGACTCAGATCACCCAGGCCTGCAGGTCTGCAGAGTTTACAGCCTAACACACTCTGGGAGGCAGGCGCTAAATAGGACATGCCTTAGAACGAGGCAGAGTGGCACACTCCTTTAATCCCAGCACTCTGGAAGGCAGAAGGAGGCAGACTCTGTGAGTTCAAGGCCAGCCTGGTCTATGTACTCAGTTCCAAGAAAGCCAGGGCTGCACAGTAGGATCCTGTCTCAAGAAAACAAACAGAGGCCGGGCGTTGGTGGCGCACGCCTTTAATCCCAGCACTCGGGAGGCAGAGGCAGGCGGATCTCTGTGAGTTCGAGGCCAGCCTGGTCTACAGAGTGAGTTCCAGGACAGCCTCCAAAGCCACAGAGAAACCCTGTCTCGAAAAACCAAAAAAAAAAAAAAAAAAAAAAAAAAAAGAAAACAAACAGAAAGTTCCTTATAGGTCCCGGGGTGGTGGTGTGTGACTGTAATGCCAGCTCTTGGGAGGCGGAGGCAGGTGGATCTCTGTGAGTTCGAGGACAGCCAAGGCTACAAAGAAACCTTGTCTCAAAAAAAAAAAAAAAGACACTGTTTTAAGGAGGAGATCCCTATGATCTAGTGGTGGAGACAGACAGAGATGTGGAGGATTGGGAGTTGGTTTCAGTGTAATCTCATATGGAACAACAATAGAATATAAAGTGATTAAAGTATATCTCTATAATCATATCTCTATATGCTGTAGCTGCTAAAAATTAATGAAGAATGTGCATAGAGAAGTTCACAGTAAGCCCTGTGCAAAATGCATCTGCAGCCGTACAACGAGCAGTAATTAACCTTTCTCCCGCTGGGCACCTTTTCCTAAGGGTGCCTAACAGTTTGTCTGCTGGAATTCATCGAACAGTGTGTAGTCATCCATTGGGTCTAGCAGTGCTTTTTTTTTGTTGTTGTTGTTGTTGTTTGTTTATTGGAAGGTTGTTTCCAAACATTCGTGTAAAGTTTTGGATGTGTTTTCACTCTCGTTTTCATAGTTGCCTGAGGGACGGGATAATACTGGGCATTGTGTTGAGTATATGTTGAAATTTTAAGAACTGGCCCAGGGATGGAGAGATGGTTCAGTGGTTAAGAGCACTGCCTACCCTTTCAAAGGTCCTGAGTTCAATTCCCAGCAACCACATGGTGATTTACAACCATCTATAATGAGGTCTGGCGCCCTCTTCTGGCATTAAGGTGTACATGCAGGCAGAACACTGTATATATAATAAATACATATTTAAAGAAAGAGAGACAGAGAGGAAGAAAGAAAGCTGCTGTGATGTCAGTGGTGTCTTCGTTTGTACTCTTTAGTTGTTTGTATGCCTTATTTATTTAGTTAGTTAGTTAGTTAGTTAGTTAGTTAGTTAGTTAGTTGTTTATACCACCAGAATCAATCGCCTATATTTTTTCAGGTTGTAATATTATTTAGTTACAAGTTCTTCATATACCCCCGGGTGCAAGTGCTTTGTTAGATATATGTTGTAAATATCCTCTCCCACCCTCCGACTTTTTTACATTCTTAAATATGGCGGTCAATAAACAAAATTTTGATTTACAAAAGTCAAATTTACCAGCTGTTTTCTTTTTTATCTTGCGACTTGGACTCTTGAATCCTATTAAATTACTATTTTAGTATTGACTTTCACGTCATCTGTTTTTTACGTATACATCGACTTTTGTTCGTTTCAGCCAAGCTGTGCTAGTGGACAGGACCGTTTACGTTTCCGGACAGGTTGGCTTGGATCCCTCCAGTGGACAGCTTGTGCCAGGAGGAGTCGTAGAAGAAGCTAAACAGGTAAAGTCATCCCCACACTAGAGGCTCTTTCTACCACTTTGTATACTGAGCAGTATTGATAATCCATGACTCTGACTAGTTTGCTAGACATCAACAGATAAATGTGCTTTCTGCTGCCCACTGCATGATTTAAGGTTTTTAAAAACCTAACTTTAGATTTATTTATTTATGTATAAATATATGTCTTAAGGCTTTATTGCTGTGAAGAGACAGCATGACCATGGCAGCTCTTATCAAGGAAAGCATTTAATTGGGGTGGCTTACAGTTTTGGGAGTTCAGACCATCATCATCATCATGGCCAGAAGCATGGTGGCATGCAGGCAGACATGGTCCTGGAGCAGTAGCTGAAAGGTCTACATCTTGATCCACAGGCAACAGGAAGTGAACTGTGTCCCACACTGGATGTAGCTTGAGCATACGAGACCTCAAAGCCCACTTCCCACAGTGATGCACTTCCTACAAGACTGTACCTACTCCAAGGCCACACCTAACAGTGCCACTCCCTATAGGCCAAGCATTCAAACACTTGAGTCTAAGGGGGCCATTCCTATTCAAACCACCACACTGTGGGTATTGCTGTGATAGATACCAACTTCTGTGTTAGTTGGGCTTTTTTGCTTGAACTTCTGAGACCTCAAAGCGTGTCTCCAGTGACACATGTCCTCCAGCAATACCACACCTACTCTGACAAGGACACATCTCCCATAGTGTTACGTGTAGTCTTCCCGCCAACCGCTTGGGTCCCGCTGCTGTCTCAGCCCCCAAATAACACACAGGACGCTATATTAATTATAAGTAGTTGGCCGTTTGCTTGGTTTCTTACTGGCTAGCTCTGACCTAAGTATTTAACCCATACTTGCTAATCTAAGTACTTCCATGTGGTCTATTCTTACCGGAAGAAGGGCCCAGGCATGTTACTTCTCCCACGTCCTGTATCGTGACTGGCTGTGCCTCTGTTTCCCAGAATCCTCCTCGACTCCTAGTCCCACCTGTCTTGCTTCCCTATTGGCCAATAGTGCTTTGTTAACATATACACAGGAGGACTTCCCCCACCACCATAGTACCAGTTCCTATGAGTCTGTAGGGTCTTTTTCATTCAAACTAGCACAACGTGTATGCATATTTTGCCTGCACGCATGCATGTATACCACATGTGTGCCTGTTGGAGTCCCTGGGGTCCCAGGCTGTCAGGAGCCGCTCTGCGGCACTGGGAATCCAGCCCTCAGTCCTCTGCCCAGTTCTCTTAACCATGAGGCTGTCGCTCCGGCCCCTTTCCCATGGTTCAGCAACAGAGAAGAGCAGGAGTCGTCCCCAGGTCACCAGTGTGCTAATGGGTCCTGATGGACTGGAAAGTTTACTTTCAGGGCCATTGACCTCCCTTCTCTCCCCAAAGTACGTCACCAGCACAGCAGTGAAAAGGTCAGCATTTGTTAGTAAGAGAAAAGCACCAGCAATTGTATGAAATACGGTTGAAAGAAAAAGGAGTGGGGGCTTGGAATACAGGTCCAGCAGACAGAAAGTCCTGAGTTCAATCTCTAGCCTCTCTCTCTCTCTGTCTCTCTCTCTCTCTCTCTCTCTCTCTCTCTCTTTTCTCTGTCTCTGTCTCTCTCTCTCTCTCTCTCACACACACACACACACACACACACACACACACACACACACACGAGAAATTCTATTCTCATCCATTAATAGACTTAAATTGTAACTTAATGAACTTACAGAGTCATTTGTAAGACCCAAGATAGAATACAACCTAAATATCTGTCTTTAAGGAGCTGGGATATAGATCTATGACCTATACTCTAGATCTATGCAACGAATTTATATTTAAAAAAAAACACAAAAAGAATGCAAGACCCTCCTCAGCTGCATGGTATGTTTGAGGCCAGCCTGAGTTCTGTCCAAAAAATAACATGGTTATGCTAGTATAAGCATCACTGTTTCTAGAAGGGTACATGAGAAATGTGGTTTCTTCTGTCTTATGCATATGGGTGTTTTGTCTGCATGTCTGCCTGGTGTGTACCTGACGCTTACCTAGACCAAAAGAGGGCACCTGATCCACCAGAACTGGAGTTACAGATAGTTGGAAAATGTCCTGTGGGTTCTGGGAATTGAACCTGGGTCCTCTGAAAGAGCAACCAGTGCTCTTAACCACTGAGCCATCTCTCTAACCCTATATGCCAAACTTGACATTGTGGCTTTTTCTGGAGAGTGAGCGAGAAGGGATGAGGGAGACCTTTTCCCTGTGTGATGTGTGTGTGTGTGTGTGTGTGTATGTGTGTTAATAGATTTTTAATTGTTTGCTTTATCCAAACATTAAGGGGCTGGAGAGATGGCTCAGGGTTGAAGAGCAGCCTGTTTCTCTTGCAGGGGACCCAAGTTTGGTTTGTAGCACCCACTTCCAGCCCCTCAGATTCAGTCCACTAGAGGAAAACCACTACATATGTGACCGCGTAGGAACATCAATTAGAGTAATTCTCTAGCACCCGCATCCCTGACCTCTCTTGACTTGATTCACAGGCTCTTACAAACCTGGGTGAAATTCTGAAAGCTGCAGGCTGCGACTTCACTAATGGTGAGCAACTGGGTCTGGTTGTTGCTTGTGTTATCTGCAGTGCTCAGGATCCAACTCAGGGCCTCGTGCGTGTGAGGCCAGCATTCCACCATCTAGCCACACACCCCCGACACTGTCAATGTGTGTTTGGTATTAACTCCGTCTTTGGGAGGGACGTGTGATACCCAACAACACGTCATTCCACGTCTTCGTTGCCAAAGGGTGTGGTTTTTTTGGGGGGGGGTTTCCGAGACTGGGTTTCTCTGTACTGTTTTGGAGGCTGTCCTGGAACTCGTTCCGTAGACCAGGCTGGCCTTGAACTCACAGAGATCCGCCTGCCTCTGCCTCCCCAATGCTGGGATTAAAGGCGTGCGCCACCAACGTCCGGCCTAAGGGTGTGATTTTAATGGTCTGGGAAACGACACTGTCTCGTTCGACTTCTTGAGTCCCATTTGAGTCCCGTTTTCATCAAGGTTGTCATAACATCATACACTGTTTTTTTCGAAGCCTTGTTTTGAGTCTGATGAATGAAAACTTGCATCTTCTAGTGGTGAAGACAACGGTTTTGCTGGCTGACATAAATGACTTTGGCACTGTCAATGAGATCTACAAAATGTGTGAGTCATTTGTCTTCCTACTTTTAATGGGAAAGAAATCTGCTAATGTCAGCGAGTATCATTGTCAAGTAAAAGTGACAGAGATGTTAAAATGCTGTTTCGTCCTGACACAGTCCATGTTGTGCTTGGAAACATACAGTATGCCCTCGTGGGAAAGATCTCATATATTTCCATCACGGTCCCTAAAAGTATAAGATACGTAAACCCTACAAGTTCATTTTCCTAAAGCCTATTTTTATTATTTGTTCCTTTGGCTTTTTAAGCTCTCCCCTAAAATTTTTTTCTGGACATAAAGACTTAACACTTGCTATGGATATGGTCTAGCTGCTGTGTTCTGTCTCTCTCAGAATCAGCAGGTGGTTACTTAACATTTTCATACTCTGGTTCCTTAGTATGTAAAGAGAGGACAGTGTTCTGCTACCTTAGGAGGCTGTTGGAATAGGTAAATGAGGGGCAGAGCAAATGCTGCCGTCACTGTCATTGTCATAGTGGGAAAAGCGGGTCCCTGGCTCCTGGTAGGATGAGATAAAGGTGCAGTGTGGGAAAAAATGTCATTATCATTATTCTCTGCAGAAGAAATGACCAGAGAAAGCCAAAGATATGGGAAAGTCCTTGCTGAAGATAAGGAACCCTTCCCTAATTTTGATAACTGTTCGATCGGGATCCTTTTCATTCCCAAACCCGTTCTCGCCATTACAAGACGAAAATGCCAGATTGTGCCTTTCATTGTTTTGCAGAGTACTTAGGAAAGTACTAAGTGTCATAAACTCATGTGGCAGGACATCCTGGAGTGTCGCTTGTATCTGGGAACCAGCCAGGCCCTGAGTCAGTCACCAGGCTCTCTCTTCTCTTCCCGAGACTAACCTGACATTGTTCTACACTCAGATTTCAAGAGTAACCTCCCTGCCAGGGCCGCTTACCAGGTCGCCGCTCTGCCCAGAGTAAGTACGCAGTAAGACGGCCAAGCATGCATGGGCACGCAGAACCTGCCACTCTGAAAGGACGGACGCTTAAATATAGTACAGTTCCCATTTCTCAGAAATGCAAAGTCTAAAGGTAAAATCCGGATGACCGCTATGTACCTAGAAAAACAAAACAAAACAAGAAAACCCAAGAAATCTTACAAAGTACCACATGGGCATGACACGGTCCAAAGATTTAAATGATAAGAAAAGCCTTATATGAGAAAACAGTGGTTGTGCCGTAATGCTACTCAGGGAATGGAGTTTGTGCTAAGTGCCGAGGTTTTGGTTCTGCAGTGAAAGCCTTCCCCTGGAGGAGTGGTGGATTGCCGGGCCTGCTCCTGTGTGCCACCCTACTGTCTGACTTCACACCAGTCCTCTGTCTAAATGTCTGAGTGCCCTCCCTCCCCTAAGTAAGGACTTCTGTAAATGGAGCGCAGGGTAGAATTCCGTGGAGACCTCAGGGCGGCCTTTGCTCTCCCCGAAGGAAACTCTGAATACCAGCAAGGTGTGAGTGAGACTCATACTCTTGCCAGTTTCTACTTATTTTAGAGTATTGGCCAGAGAATCGTGGCGTTATTACTACTATTTACCCTAACAAAGAAAGATGCGCTTGGCTCTCATATAATAGTCCAGGCTTCTCACTGGAACGACGCTTGTGCCACCACTGCGGTTCTGGTGTCCCCTCACCAGGGCCTCTTTCCCTAAGCCTCCTGCCCGTATTGTACGCCTGCAGCAAAGCCACAGGTCCTACTCACTTCCTGTAACTTCCTGTAAAGACGGTGTCGTCTGTTGTTTTAATTAGTAGTTACTGGGAAGGGTCATTGGGTGTAGGTGAAAGAGCTTTAAACTTAGAATCAAAAGATATGGGCTCGGTCATCCGCTGTTTATCTTCACGACCTGGGACAATTTGTACCAGCCCATCCATCTGAGGTTGGTGCCTTGTTTTACTTCCGGGGCTGCTGTGGGTGTCAGATGAGCTAATGTATATGAGTGTGCCTGGTGTGTCCCGTTGCAGGTTCTTGATGGATTTTTCTCTGTTCTTTGCTTTCTGCAAAGAGATTAATAATTTAAAAAAAAGCTATGTTGCTATTAATCTCATATGTTTTTTCTAAACTTTTTAGTTTGTACTAAATGATAAATGATAAAGACAGTGACCTTTTTGTTTTCCGTGCAGGGAAGTCGAATTGAAATCGAAGCAATCGCTGTACTGGGGCCCTTCACCACCGCGGGACTATAAGTGGCCATGCTGACGTCGATTCTGGGGTTTTTTGGTTTTGGGATGTCTTTCACACCTTAATTTTTACAAATGATGCTGGGAAGTGTAAGCGTGACCAAGTGGCTGAGTTTATCGTGGGAATGACCTTACGTAGGGAGACTTGACATGAGCGGGATGTGACTGGGTACCCTGGTGGATGCTGTGACTGTATTCACATACACTCACGTCTCTGAGTCAGGGAAGGCTCAGCCGACCGCTCAGATGAGCAGCAGGAGAGGGAAAGATGAGCTGTTGTTAACGACAAACAGCAAAGAGCACACCTAATTACTTAAATTATGCTAATCTGTTCATGTGAAGTATCTATTTCTCGTGTTAGATACAGGAAACCAAATCTAACTTGAATAGTACGGGAGAATAAAGTGAACCACAATCTTATACAGATAATATTTTTCTAATGGAAATAAAAATAGATGTGTAACTTTCCCTTGGTGTGATGGTGGTCTCTAATTTTTTTTGATACTTTAATTATACCAACGACGGGTGGTGGCGCATGCGTTTAGTCCCAGCCACGGCCATGGTGTCTCTTCACAGCAATGGAACATTAACTAAATCAGTATTTTTATGGACGTTTCAAAGAGTTTCGACGTAGTCCTGTCTAATCTGTATTTAGCTTATTCTGTTCCTCAAAGAGATTTATGTGTGCTTTCTTGTGCACGGGGGATTGAGTCAATCAGCAGCAGAATAATTTTCAGTAAATTCTGCTGTGTGTGAATATGCCTGAGGTAAACTATGTGGGGTCAGACTTCCTAAGTTTGAACCAGCAGTGGCTGCTGAGTCACGCTGAGCCATTTGCCTTCTTACCTCCCGTGGCTAGTCTCTCTGGTCCCCGTGAAGGTCACATGTGCGGCATCCTCCCTACCCCCTGCTCACATTTAGGTCACTAATTGCAAACCAGTCTTCTAGATGAAAGATCTGGAAATGAAATGAGATGTGGCACCCATGTTAACTGACTTGTCCGGGGCCAGGTCTGGACTTTTTGGACCAAAGGAGAATCACTATATTTTATTAAATGTCAAGAAGAATGGCAATGTTGGTTATAATAAACCAGGCGCATGCCTAGAATGAGCACTCAGGAGTGGAGGCAGGAGGATTAGAAGTTCAAGGTCATCTTTGGCTTCATAGTGAGTTCCAGGACACCACCCTGGGGTACATGAGACCCTGTCTCAAAATAAACAAATAAAAGTTAAACACACTACAAGATACTTAAAAAACAAGTCACTCATATTTCTTTACTGTTACCATATCCTTTTTATTTTTGTTGTTGTTTTTGAAACAGGGTCTTGCTGTGTAGCCTTGGCTGACCGAGATCTCACTTTGTAGACCAGGCTGGCCTCCAGCTCACTGAGATCCACCTGCCTCTGCCTCCCGAGTGCTGGAATTAAAGCCTATTGCCGTATCTGTTACCTTGATTTTCCATCAACACAGAGCACTTAACAAAGAACAAATTAACCTCTGTAGTGAGATTCACACACAATCATCACCCAAGTCCCTTGCTCGCTCTGGAAGGACTCTGGAAAAATGACTTTCTGTGATACATTGTAAATTCATTTAAATCCTTGTGTGCGTGCGTGTGTATGTGTGTGTGGTGTGTGCATGTATGCTCACATATGTGGAGAAATACATGTCATGGGTGCTCTGTGTGTGTGTGTGTGGTGTGCGTGCATACATGCTCACATATGTGTGAAGAAATACGTGTGCATGTGTGTGTGTGTAGAGGGACAAAGTTGATCTCAGAATCATCCCTCAATCCCGACTTCACCTTATTCTTTAAAGCAGCTTCCTTCAGTCAAACCCACAGCTTGGCAGTAAGGTTATCTCAGGAGCCAGCCTGCTCTGAGGATCCTGTCTCTGCCTCCTGGGCTAGATTTAAGGGGCAGCTTCCACCACGCCCACCCAGACCTGTTTCTGAGACTCCAATTCCCATTCTTCTGCTTGGCTGCAAAGACTTCAGCTGCTAAGCTGTCTCTCGCCACAGCCCTCAAGCTAGGACTTTCATCCTTGCTGGGTTCGTTTTGTCTGTCATTGCCTCGGGAATGCATTAAAAGTCAACTAACTAAAAATTATTTTACTGTTAGTAAGTATAACAACAACAGCAACAAAAAAATTAAAATCACCAAACCGAAACACCTCAAGTATAAAACCAGCAGCCGATTCAAAATGGCACATGGAAAATGTGGACCCCTTTCACTGCAACAAAATGTGGAACCTTTGGCTAGCACCCCGGCAGCAGATACAGATATAACTCCTATCACAGGACAGAAATATTAGTTGTAGTTCATCCTGTGTTCTGGGGGGAGGGGGTATTCATTCTTTTTCCATCATTATTATAACTACCTAACTCTGCTATCATGAGTTCCTTACATTTTGCTAATTCTTCCTCCAGCCCCGTCCCCTCATTTCATCCTGAATGGACCCACGGCCCCAAGGAAGAAAACCACCTTTGCTTTCTTAAATGATCTTACAGTTCTTAATGGGTCCTGGCTATTGTCACTTTGAATGCATAATTGTCCTAAGTACCTAACAACAAAAAAACCTGTCTAGCACTTTTATGGCGTAACACAATCAAAAACCAGTATTTATTCTCTAGATTCCAGCCTCACTCCCCTTGTAATATAAACCGTGTAGCCACAGAAAGACAGCACCCATGCCCCCTCCCCCCCATAGCCTGGGATTGTCCCGCCCTTGGCTATAACAGGCTGTGCCCACCATCCCTCCTGTCGCTGTCCCCTGCGGCTCCAAGATCCACGGCTTCTCCCGTTTCCTTCTCTTTGGCTTGGCTTTCTTTCTTGTTTTTCATCTCTGTGTCCATCTTTTCTCCAGTCTCGCCTGGAAAAGGCAGTGAAGGGAGACAGTAAGAGACGACTGTCCTGCCTGGACTGAGCTACCATTATCTCAGAGGAGGGATCCTCGCTTGAGGAAGTGGGCAAGCCTGTAGGGCATTTTCGTAATCAGTGATTGGTGGCAGAGGGCCCATTGTGGGTGGTGCTACCTGTGGGCTGGTGGTCCTGGGTTTTATAAGCTGGCAGGTTGAGCGAGCCATGGGAAGCAGGCCAGTAAGCAGCATCCATAGAAGGGGCCTCTCTGAGCCGGGCGTTGGTGGCGCACGCCTTTAATCCCAGCACTCGGGAGGCAGAGGCAGGCGGATCTCTGTGAGTTCCAGGCCAGCCTGGTCTACAGAGTGAGTTCCAGGACAGCCTCCAAGACAATACAGAGAAACCTTGTCTCGAAAAAAAAAAAAAAAGGGGGGGCCTCTCTGTTTCAACTCCTGCCTTCAGGTTTCCTGTCCTGTCTGAGTTCCTGTCCTGACTTCTTTTAGGAAGGGGCTCCGGTAATGGACTTGTAAACCAAATCAACCCTTTCCTCCCCAACTTGCTTTTTGGTCCCGGTGCTTCTTCACATTCCTCAGTGGATAAGAGTAACCCCCATTCCACAAGCGTGAAGACATGAGTTCAAATCCCCAGCGCCTACGTAAGAAGCTGGGTACAACAGAGCGCACGTGTAATGCAGGGAAGACGGGAAGATTCCCTGGAGCTCATGAACCAGGCAGAGCCATCGTTCAGTTAGTTAGAACTGAATCAATACGCTACAGATGGAGAGATTCTGCCTCAAGCAGAAGGTGGAGCTGACCTCTGGCCGGCACACAGGTGCACACCTGCACACACCCGCACGGACATCCAGGCAGAGGTAATAATAATAAAATAAAATGTTTAAAATTTTGACGTAGCCATTGTAAATGATTCGAGGGGAGCTGAAGTGAGGTTTGAGGAAACGAGTTTCCTAAATGGAAAAGTCTCTGGCTTTTGGGTCAAAGCGAACTTCAACCACCCAAGAGAGAGACTTCTTCAGTCTCTCTGGCCCCCAGAGCTGTCCTCCATCCCCTCGGAGCCTTCCCAAAGCAGTCAGGCTCTGAGCTAGCCTCCTTTTTTACCTTCAACGTGTTGCTCCTCCTTATCGGCTGCATCAATTTCTCCGGCCATCCCCAGCTGCTCCCCGCTTCCAACCATCGCTTCAGGCTGAGATCCACGGGCGGCTCTGGTCCCATCGTCGGGAGTCTCACAGTGTGGCTCGTTCGTTTCAGGAGCGTTCACGATTTGGCTTCCATCGTCTGGCGTGATGCGCGGGGTCTCATCCTCTTGGAGACCGATTTCCAGAAGTCGGGGCCGAAGCTCGCCTTTGCGCGCTGTTTCCCGGGGTCCCTGCCCCTGCTGCTCTTCCCCGCTACCGCTCTCTGCAGGCTGACCCCCTTCGGCTGCTTCGGGAGCGCGGTTCTCTCCGGGACCTGCTTCTACAGTCGGGGGCTGTGCGTCCATTCCCGTCGCCTCTGCTTCTTCGGGTGGCAGCTCCTTGGCTGTCCCCAGAGGCAGAGCAGCATCCCCGGCTGTGTCCAGAGGCTTCGTCCCTGCTGCAGTCTGCAGAATCTCAGTGTCCCCATGGTCCCCCACCTCTTCTGCTGCTGCAGTCGGGGGTTGTGCGTCCCTTGTCCCCTCTGCTTCTGCAGGTGGCAGCTCCTTGGCTGTCCCCAGAGGCAGAGGAGCATCCCCTGCGGTCTCTAGAGGCTTTGTCCCTCCTGCAGTCTGCAGAATCTCAGTGTCCCCGTAGTCCCCCACCCCTCCTGCTGCTGCAGTCGGGGGCTGTGGGGCCCTTCCTGTCGCCGCTTCCTCGGGTGGCAGCTCCTTGGCTGTCCCCAGAAGCAGAGCAGCATCCCCGGCTGTGTCCAGAAGCTTCGTCCCTGCTGCAGTCTGCAGAATCTCAGTGTCCCCATCCCCTGCTCCGGGGGACTCCCCTCTCTCTCCCGATGTCCTCGGAGGCCCGGTCTCCACGTTTCCTCTTAACCACTGCGCCCCTGGGCTCGTTTGCGCATCTTTCTCGGTTTCCTGTGCTCCCGGCGCAGCATCCTGCTCTTTGCCTCCCGGCGAAGGCGCCTCCTGTTCTCCCCCTCGCACTGCAGGCTCAGTGCCCCCTGCGAGTCCCAGCTGGTCCACGGCCTCCTTTCTGGGGGGCTCATCCTTTGCCAGAGACGGGCGGTGGCAGGATTTAACCCCGTTGGCCGCCGTCGGCACCACCGAAGCCTTGGGCTTCTCCAACGGGGCAGAGCCGGTCCTTTGTGCACCGCTGCGAAAGGCAGCATCTTCTCTTGCGGGTGCGGGCTGGGCCACGCAGAACTCGCTTTGTCCTCCGGTGGAGGCATTCTCCTCGTCCGAAGGTACTTTTTTGAGCATTTAGTTGGGAAAAACAAAAAAAACAAAAAACAAAAACCAAAGTGAGTAAAAAAAAAAAGAGAACGGGGTTTCTGTTCAGCTACCTCTGAGAAAGTTCGCTGCCATCCGGTAGATTTGGTTGTGCAACCACGCTCCCCGCTCCAAATCTGACACCGTCAACCCAAACACCTCGCAGGAGACATCAGGGTCCCCTGACCCAGCGCTCTCCCGAGCGTCCCCATGTGTCCCACGTTCCGATTTAGCACAGTGGCTCCGCATCTCCTGTTCGCACCCCTTCTCCTGTCTGGGGACCCGGGCGGTCCCGGAGCTGTGAGACTCAGAGAGGCCGCACACACAGGAAAAACCACACAGCAGAGAAGGTCGGACACCGGGGAAGAGCAGCGCAGCGGCGACTCAATCTGAGATTTCTGTCTCCTTAGGGGACCAGGGGACGAGGCGTGTGACATGAATACAGAGATCTCAGGGACTGAACAGTACTCCTACTGTGCGACCCAGTACTCCTACTATGTGACCCAATAAATCCTACTGTGTGACCCAGTACTCCTACTGTGTGATCCAGTACTCCCACTATGTGACCCAGTACTCCTAGTATGTGATACCGTACTCCCACTATGTGACCAAGTACTCCTACTGTGTGACCCAGTAGTCCTACTATGCGACTCAGTACTCCTACTATGTGACCCAGTCCTCATATTAGTGGAAATTTATCCAAAATCCTTTAGCGAGTGACTCAGGGCATCATTCAAATGCCGTTTAAAACAGCAGAAGCCAGAAAGCAATTCAAAAGTCTAAAACTAAACCCACTGGGTGAGACTCTGCCCCATGAAAGAATAAGACTGTGAAGCCCCCGTGCCGACCAGTGACAGAACCCGTGAGGACAAACGGCGGAGCGTGTTCATGTCTGCCGGGTCAAACCAGGGGGAGCAAATGGCGGGTGTTAGAGCAAGGTCTGCGGTTGAAGAACTAAAAACAATGTTTGAGGCCAAGGCCTGGGCCTGGGACAGGAGAGGAGAATCCCATTTGGAGAAACAGAAACAGTCATGATCTGGGATTGCTAATTCCCACGGGCGCATCTGTCGGGGCAGACACGTGCAAAGCTTGCCCGAAATACCACAGTAGACACGGGCAGGATGGAGCATCATCACATCAAGACATTTCCCCGATCTGCTCATTTCAACATAAAAAAATAATGTGAAAAACCGTGACCGGATATCGATTTTGAGACACCTCGTTCTTAGGGCTAGGGGCTTAGTTCAGTCAGCTAGGACCCCAGGCAGGAGAGATAAAAGCTGGATGCCGTCACGGGGCAAAAGGGAGCGTCTCGGTGCCACTGGTTAGTCGTGCGGGGTCCTGGGGACGGAAAACATGGCTAAGGGTTTGGGTTTTGAGAGAGAGAGAGAGACAGACAGACAGAGAGAGACAGATAGGCAGACAGACAGACAGCTGCATGGTTTCATCTGAGGCCGGGTTAGGCTGTGCATTTGTGCACGGAGACACAGAGTCTGGAAGGCAGCAAGACCTTGACTAGAGATGCATGTTGCCTATGTCTGGAAAAGGGCAGTTTTGACATAAAGACAAAAAGAAGAGAGGTATAGGTGTGTGTGTGTGTATGTGTGCGTGTAAGAGAAGGGGCAGAGACAGAGCAGATGCCTCTCCTTGTTCTACAGATGGAGTGTGACTCTTACAGGAAGGTCCTAGGGATGAAAAATGAAAACCCAGCAATGATTTTCGGAGTGGCCAGGTACAGGCTGTCACTGTTAAGGGCTCGCATGACCAGAATGATAGCAGTCTCTCTACATCAAATCACCAGCAAGAAAGGCAGCATAGCAAAAGCGCTTTCCTAGCTGGGGCGTAGGTGGTGGCACACGCCTTTATCCCCAACACTCGGGAGGCAGAGGCAGGCGGATCTCTGTGAGTTCGACGCCAGCCTGGTCTACAGAGCGAGTTCCAGGATAGCTTCCAAAATAATACAGAGAAACCCTGTCTCGAAAAAAAAAAGTGCTTTCTTGATACCAGAGGGAAATCCATCAAATCCATCCATCACAATAAAGAAGCTCCCTCTGCTCCCACTCAAGCTGTCCTGGTAGTAACTGCCTTCAGAGTTAACAAGGAAGCACATTACTGTATTAACCACAGATGTTTGCCCAGGGACATTTCCTGTTGAAAGAGTTACTATAGTTACCAGTACTGTCAGTGATAGGAAGCAAGCCATGTCCACCCACCTGGGCCTGCTGGGTGCATGTCTCAAGGTGTCACCCTTCCAAAGCATAAAGCTGGGAGGGTAGGTGTTGACACACCCCAAAACACAGGCACAGTTTTGTGCATAGAATTTTGTTTTGTTTTGGTTTGGTTTTTCAAGACAGGGTTTCTCTGTGTAGCCCTGGTTGTCCTAGAACTAGCTCTGTAGACCAGGCTGGCCTTGAAGTCACAGAGATCCACCTCTGGGATTAAAGGCGTGTACCACCACCGCCTGGCTTATATAGATTTTTTTTAAACAGCAAATACATTTAATAAGAAGTTAAATGTGTAAGACTAGACTCAGTTTCCTAAATAGGATTAACAGGAGCATGCCTGATACCCCACTGTAGAAGGTGGGGGGGGTTAGGTAATCTGGACAATATCTGAATTAAATCAGCATACATCTCCCAAAGAGCCTAATGAGTTTAAAATGTAAGTGTGGCTTTTTTATTAGATAAATTTGTTATCTGACAGCAACAGAAAGAATGAGCTGCAGCATGAGAGTGCTTTGGTGCACAGGCCCTAAACCCTGTGAGTTGTCAATGCTGACCTGCCAGAGCGTGTCCTCCTCATGGTGGGCTCCAAAGCATCAGTGATGGATAACGGAACCACGGCCAGACTTGACTGACTTCAAAAAGTGCCACTGGTAACTTTTATACAAAAAAAGAAAGAAAGAAAGAAAGAAAGAAAGAAGGAAAGAAAGAAAGACAGAGTTGCCGTGTTGTAGAGATGGCTCCAAGGTTGACAGCATGAGCTACTCTTCAAGAGTTTGATTCCCAGTGCCCACATCAGGCATCTCACAAACCGCCTATCACTCCAGCTTTAGCAGATCAGACACCTCTGGCCTCTGCAGACACCTACACCCATGTGTGCATACATACACAGTCACACACCCATGTGTGCACACACACAGTTACACCCCCATGTGTGCATACACACACAGTCACACACCCATGTGTGCACACACACAGTTACACCCCCATGTGTGCATACACACACAGTCACACACCCATGTGTGCACACACACAGTCATACACCCATGTGTGCATAGACACAGTCACACACCCATGTGTGCATACACACACACACAGTCACACACACTGGAAATAATAAAAATGATCTTAAAAATAAAAAGATGTTTCGTTCCACTTCTGGCTTCAATTCCATTTTCCATCGAGCATTCACCAGTGTCGTTATGGGCAGGCTCTGGACTGGGGCACAGGGATTCTTACAGCAGGTCACAAGGGCTCTTCCCTGCCACCTTAGGGATTATTGTCTGCAGCAAAGTTCAAACGACACCTCCTTCGTCACCAACTACAACTTGGTACTTCTACAGTTCCTGGCACCCAAGCCTACACCCATGGACCCCCTCCTCAGAGCAGATAAGGTGGAACATGCCCTCCAGCCCCCAAACTTGCAGGCGGTGAGATGCTTTTTTTGTTTGGTCCACAAACGGGAGACGACGGCCTGTTGCCGAGTCCGCACCGTTAGGTAATAATGAGGGCAGATGCATTGGTTCCACCCAAAACCGTTTTAAGGATGTGTCTGTTCTCTGAGCCATGTTTCATCAAATCTTTACCCCGCTCTGCGCTTAATCCTTTGATACTAATCATCTCTGACTCTGCTATAAATGGATGAATTTGTTGCGACAGCTGAGCCAGCAGAAACCCTTGCTGCGAGCCAGGCACACAAAAGAAACTAAAATTCCAGGCCCCGCGTTACTGGGAGGAGTGGAACCAGAGCTAACACGACCTGAAATCCACATTACGGTGCAAACTTTTCGAGCCAGCTCGTTGCCCTGATCGGAAATGAGAAGTTTCTACCCGGCGAGGAGAAACACTCAGGCCAGTATGTTCTTTGCCATGCCACTCAGGATCCCGAGGGCCTCGGCTAATCTTTGCGGCTGTTCTACAGTGTCCCCGGGGAAAGTGCTCCAGGCGTGCTCTGTGCTGCTACTGCGGAGGCTCTAGGGTCTTTGATCTTTGACTTTAATTCTTGAACTGAGAAGTCCACGGCACCCTCATCTATCTCTTAAGCACGGCCACTAAAATCCACTGCTAGCCGGGCGTTGGTGGCGCACGCCTTTAATCCCAGCACTCAGGAGGCAGAGGCAGGCGGATCTCTGTGAGTTCGAGGCCGGCCTGGTCTACAGAGCGAGTTCCAGGACAGCCTCCAAAACAATACAGAGAAACCCTGTCTCAAAAAACAAACAAAAACAACAACAACAACAAAAAAATCCACTGCTAGACAGCTTTGGAAAACAGTGGTGCAACAACATGAGGCTGCCCAACAGAGGGTTCTGGCTTACTAGTTTCATCTCCTTGCTTTCTTCCGAGTTCTATTCTCCATCCGAGAGCGCCAGGGAGTCATCCTGGACGGTGGTTTTATCCACCGCCCAGCACAGTGTGTGGATTCATTGTCCTACTACCATGACTCTAACTCCAACCCCAAAAGTGTGATTCTGTCTATCTACCGGTAGATATTAACGGGGTCCTCATTTAGAGCAGAGGCGACCTTCAACAATATTTCATGTAATTGAACTACAAATTAACTAAAAAGACCTGTAAGAGGTTAAATTTAAAAATCGATGTTTTCTAACTACCCAAATTTCTGTTAAAATTCCATTTGATCATCATAAAGTAAATGAAATAACTTGGGTTTTTGTTTGTTTTTCTTTTTTTAAGATTTATTTTATTACATATACAGTGTTCTGCCTACATACCAGAAGAGGGCACCAGATCTCATTACA